ATCAGGGCTAACAATCGTACATTCTGTTTGTTTTTTCGTGTCGAATAGAAAAAAAAGATTTTTTTAAACGAAGCATTGTCATAGAAAGTATACGTTAATGTACTTTTTTTGCTTTCTGTCTGACTGTAAAAACGAAGAAAAACAAATACATGTAATTATTTTTTCTCTTTCATAAACTTATCTATTACAAATAATCTGATGTTGAATGTCTCAAAATAGCTCTCTAAGAGACTTGTATCATGAAAAAGAAAGAGAAGTGGAAAAATGAAGAACATTGTTGATTGTTGTTGTTAAAAGCATTTCACATATCTTTATCAGACAAATGGATACTTAGTATATAAATGTTGACAATTTTCTTTTTCGTCGATTTCAATTGTGCTGAATTGATTCAAAGTCGAAAACAAGCCTGAATAAAATATAATCGACTCTACATAAAACATTTTATTATCATTAATTAGTTACCTACCCAATTGTTTGATTATTATTTGAGTTGTTTGCTCACATGACTGAGTAACTACGTTGTGTGACACGTATCCACAAGTTACTGTATGGAAATCGTAGTACTGTCGGTCATGGAATGACTTTGGAGAAGTCACTAACAGTTCTTTGTCTCGAATCACCCGTCTCATCAATTAAGTGCAAGAACCCTGCGTAAGACCCATCGTCTGTTCAAAGCTACAGCTAGTCATAGTGATATAAAAGATATTGGACTACTGGGTCTGCAAGTAGGCAGCAATGCATACCACAAAGTAGATGAAAGTCATGGATATTCTTTCTTCCTTCTTTCTTTCCTCAGTTGGTTCTATCAAATCTGGTCATGAGTCTTCCTGAAAAAAATATCTTGGCATATGGGTTTTCGAAGATTCATCCTTACCTATAAAGGCCCATGTCGCATGTTTGTTCGCACTACCGCCGGTATACCTACGATTTATTGGCGATAGCGCTTACAACTTTCGATTTCAGCTATCAACGATTGCAGAGTTTTTTTCTTTGAGCAAATTCGAATTATTTATTAGAAAGAATTCAAATTAATCGAGAAGAAAACAGTTTCAGAATATATTAGAGCTATTTATAATAAAAATTTATCTGATAGCTGAAGTTAATTCGGACTCTGTGACTATAAGCCCTTATGCAACACTTTCAAAAAAAAAACGCCGATATAGCATATATTATATCGACCAGTGTACTGGCGATGATTTCTCCGTAGCTATCGCATAGGGTCCTTTTACGGATGTCCTTAAAAAATGTGTTTAAGCAAAACGTCCTAGAAGACATGTTCACTGATTAATTTATGTTCTCCATTCTTTTTCTTAGACTTCGTGTATCTAATTGTGATCCAATTGAAAATTGAGAAGCTAAATTCTGATGAAAACAAATACAGAATTCATTAAACTTCAATAACAAGTTTTAAAAAATTTCGAAAAATGTCAATAAAATAAAACTTTAACGCCAAATTCATGTAAATCTTTTATTTCAAAAACAAATTCAAATTAAGCACGTATTATGTTAGTAATTGATGATTATGCTTTCCAGTTCAAATTCAAATAAAATAATAAGAGCAAAAACATAATTGCAATATAACAATAACGGTAATTTTATTATTTTAAAAATGATTTACCATAAGCTGTTTTCTCTTTCAAAGCAATCCAAAAATCAGTTAATAGTATTATTCCTATATATTTTAACTAGTGTTAATCATCTAGCACTAACAGTTCGATTAAATTGTTGTTCATTATTAGAAAATAATTTAGAACATTTAAATAAACATTAGCAAAATTTAATAGATTAACACCAATATATGTTAAATCATATTGTTCTGACACTGAATTTTGATCGTCATTTATTTTATCAGTTGAACGACTAATTTTCTATCGAGATCATTCACGAATACCATAATGTGGATTAGAAAACAATAGAATGAAAGAAAAATGTTAGACGTCATGGTGAATATACAAAATTGAGCCATATTTGCCATTTATTCTTTATTGAAGATAACATAATTGAAGTCTATGCTTAAAATGGTGATTTTTGTAATATGAACTGTTCAATTCAATGAGTTTTTCACTCAATATGGCATAATTCAAATTTCTAGGTCAATTGTTTGTTTTTTCAAAACGATCGATAGATTATTTTATATTTCTTGCTAGTTGATTGATACTTTATTTACAGCTTTTAAAAGCAGCATAATTTTCGTTCGAATAAATTATTTCTATCGCCTACTTATATAGAAAGGTCATTAGAAAAACTATCACAAAGCATTGACACATTTTCTTGAAAAATGCAGCTACTAATGAGAGGAGTCCTTCAGATGATAAATTGCTTCTGAGTCAAGACTATGTTCATTATGCAGACCCAAATGAGCTTTAAATAGTCTGAGAAGAGTTCGAGCATTTAGCTTATGACTATGGAGATATTACACTATTACGATATTTTTAAAATGAATACTATGATCCAAAAAGAAACTGATTTTCGGATTTCGACTTAAAACTGTATAGAGAGTGACCTCAACAAGAATGGTTTTTAGTCAATGTTTTAGATCTTGCCGCTGTTTCTATCGTAAGATACAACTGTTTTAATAATTTGGTTACATCGCTTATATAAACTGATAGATGTGATGTTTTTATTTCAAGATAGAAGCAAATGAAAAGGCTTGAAACTTTCACAATAGTCTACACTGGTTAAGATTTATCTCTGTGCAAAGTTTCAAGTCGAAATTCGAAAATTACTTTTCCTGCTGCACCTGACGAGACTATGGTATTCATTTAAAAAATTTGGCATATTTGCAGTATCTTCGCAGCAATAAGCTAAAGGCATGAAATCTTCGCAGGATATTCCTATCTCATTTGACGCTACATAATGCATATAGTCTCGATACAAAATCAATTTATCTGTTGGAGGACTTCTCTCGTAAGAGAACAACCACTACTTACTGAATATGGATTTTTATTTTTATTCTGAAGCAAGAACTGAAATTAGATATCTACATAACCAAAATGATTCATTTATATTGATTGATATACTTGGATCTGTTTTAAAAAGGATACTATCGCATCAAATTAACCTAAAAATAACATTTATACGACAGTTTCCATATAAAACTGAGTGATGAAATAATCGAACCTATTATTTTAAACATCTAATGTCGGTTCATTATGATTTACCAATAAAATAAAGCTTTCGAACATCATAGCAAAATTTATTTTTTATATTTAGTCAATCACCGAATGCTCATGATAGCAACTAAAAGAACAAAAGAAAAAGAAATATATAAAATAAATTTCTATTACACTCACATCAATTCGTTGAATTCTTTCTGATTTCTTTTCATTTTATTAAGCAGTAGTTAACAAAGTGAAGTCGTCTTATCTTAATTCTCTAGATAAAAGTAATTAGTTTTTCTTTGTAAATCTCACTTTAACAAAGCTGATCGTGACGAAAATACTTTAAGACGGAGGGTATTCGCAAACGTAGATAACAAAAATGGATCTTAGAATCGAAACATTTTATTATGAATCCCATCTGTTACACTAACACCTGATTTGGTTTTCTTTCAATGATCATACTTTCATGAAAACTGAATAATTCCTATAACACTTCAATGCAAAACAAGAATTATATTATTTTTAACCGTCTTAATTACTATTGTATTTATCGAGGTATTTATAATAATACAGTTCTACAAGAAAAATAGAATCTTTTTGGTATATTATTCATTTATTATTTGTAATCGTCAAAAATAAATAAAAATAAATTTTAGTTTCGTCAATGTTTTCGTTTTCCAGAGACAAAAGCTATCCAGTGAGCATTTATTGCCAGAATACAATAAAACGAGAAACTTAGAATAAAAACATAAGGAAAATAAGTACAAGTACTAGTAGCATAGTTCACTGGTTTGCCATTGATATTAATAGTGTAGAGCTAATTTTTATTATGTTTATTATAAGAATACATAATTGAGGTTGCGTTAAATAATAATAAAAAATCGTACAGAAAAACTTTGAAAAATATAAAATTTTATCCAGGTCTTAAATAATATCGAAACAAAATGCTTTTCATGTATGGATGAGTTCACAATAAATGAGAGTTAAAAAAGCATTCGACAACAACCAACTAACTTTTGCTCGATAAAACAAAAGTAACTTTTCATGAAGTGTAAAGTCTAACGAATCCACCGATTCTTTGATCACATATTGGACACGATCGCAGTGAATGGCCACATGCGATACATGTGGCCAGGTGAAAGCATGGCAGGTAAAATAATTGTTTTTCCTCTGTCCGACAAAGAACACAAGGATCAGATGGAAATGATTTAATTGATTGATTTTGGTTACTGACAGTAGCTGTTGGTTTAGTTGTTTTTGTATCACATTGATTACCAGTGCTTGTTGATTTCGATGAGAATTCATTTGTAAATGATTGCAATAATGTAATCATTTCAACATTTGCAGGATTTGATATTGATTGAGCTAGATTAGATGTAGTTACCGTTTGTTCACGCTTACATCTCTCTAGAAAATGACAGAATAGGAATTGGGACCATATATATAAGGAGCTCACCATTTTGATCTTTGAGTTCTTTCATTTTTATACTTGGTATAACAATGCTGTTTTTTTTACCATTAATATGTTCATTTTGTCTTTGATGGATTAAGCAAGCAACATATAAATCACATTCACATATGAAATCATAGTCTGAGAAACATGTTCAGAAATACAAAAGGTATTATTTTATTGATAAACTCACTTTTTAATACTAATTGGTCAGCCCAACATTGTATAATAATAGGTAGTTCAAAATATTTGTTAAATAAACGTTGTGAAACTGGCCAACATAGTCGATCACGAACAAGTCGGCACATAGTACTTCTATCGCGTATCAATAATGCTCGACTATTTATAGTTACATTAGTATTTAACACAGCGCTAGACTCTGTTCTCTTTTTCAATTCATTCTCTCGACCATGTTCTACAACAAGAAATGTAGTCATGCCTTAAAACTATTAAACCATACCTTGTCCTCTGTGAGATTCTTGGATTTCATGATGTAACTGGTCACCACATAATTGTTTAGCATAGGCACAATGTGGAAACCAACGGACATGTTCAATCAATGGATCGACATTCGGACGTAAGCTTTGTAGTGATCCATTACAATAAAAGCATGTGACAATTGTTTTGGTACCAGTATAAAAGAAGCCAGCTTTGACAAGATCTTCAACAGATGGCAAATTTTCGTTTGGCAATGTAGCAAAAGACGCATGACGCCTAGGAATTTCGATATAATTTGTATGACATGCAGCAGTGTATACAATTTCATTGAATCGAAGTGGATCAGTGTTGTTCGAAGTCAATGTATGACCATTGTTAGAAAATTCATTGATAATTACAACTGATGCTGTTTGCTGACGTTTTAACATTGCAATGACGTAGGGACACTTAGGAGAGAGTTTTTTGTGTATTTCACATGGGTCGTCTGTATGGGGAGTCCATTGTTGACAAATAATATTGCAATACAAACAAATCACTCGATCGCCAACATTACAACCGAAAAACCCAGCGTCGATCATTTGTGCAGATGAGGGTGATGTCTGATGTGGCCAATGTGAAAAAGTTCGTTTTCTTATTTGCTTTAGCGTGTCGACTTCGATTAGCCGACATGGCTGACACATCTCTTGCGTTGCTTCTATTTTCTGACGTTTAGATGGTTTTTCATCATCCGTCAATCCTGAAGTAGTTGAAAGTAGATTCACCGTTGATGGTACAGGTATAATTTGATCAGGAAGAATAGAACGAACAAAAGCGCATGTCGGGCTCCGTTGAGCATGAATAGCAAACGGCTTCATGTCCAATGTCCATCCACTTACTTCTAGTCCACATTCATCACACTTGACTGTATCCTTATTGTCAATATAATAAAATCCAGCTGAAAGCATAGCTATAGTAGAATGTACTCCTGGTTTCTTCAGCAGAGTTCGACATAATTCAAGAACTTTGCAGAAGATATCTGTCTTTTGAGGAGGTAGACTCTGTTCTATCTGACGTCCGATCTTCTGTGATGATAAACCAGAAGATATCTGTTTCATTTTGGATGAAACAGCGACCTTGAATCCTCTGGCATTGTTTAATACCGATGATTGAATATTGAATCCTTTATTCTGCATAGTAGTCAATTCGATTCTAGAAAAGAGAAATAATTCTATTTATTATCTTATAGTCGATGACTAATATTTTTTTATACGTTAATTATTTTAGTTGTGAGTCTTCGCTTATCTTCTTTTTATATGTTTGCTAAATTATATTTGCTGTTATTATACTCAGTTTTGGTTAGAGATGATGGTCACTCTGAGTTATTATAGAAGTTTAAAACCATAATAGAAATCGAATTTCGACAGAAAAGTTGTTCGTATCACTTTACTCGATCATTCGATATAAAATGGAAAAGAAAGAAGCTAATTTGACTAAGCATCATGCTACTTAAATCAACAACTGACTAAAGTGTTCTCTGTTTCTATAGATAGGTGGATGCGGCGCAACAAAGTGTCCATGATAATAAATAAGATAGGAAAAATATAACAAGAGTGATAAGAGCAAAAAGAAGATTATGTAAGAGAAACCTCACTTGTGATAATGCAGACAAGAGGAAAAAAGAAAAAGTGAACGTATTATGAAAGACAGGTACAGTGGGACAGAAGCATTACGGAATAGAAGTTAGTCACTCAGTGACTATATAATGTCTTAAAAAATAATGCCTTATTTCTGAATATTTTCTTAAAAACAAAAATATAAAGTTCAAAGTACCACGAAAAAATATTTTTTTTAGGAAAGATGTTATCGAACATACATATATACTTATAAGGTACTCGTTTTTGTCTCAACTTTTGCAGCAGTTAAATGTGCGCATATTTAAATTTAAGATAAATTTTATATGAAAGACTGATATTGTCATCAAATAGTTTCCAGAAAATAAATAATAAGGTTAACGTTTCATAAAACAAATAGACTTCTTGAACATACACAAAAAAAAACATTTTGCTACATAAGAAAAATGTATGGCACAATTAAGACATGAATACTTATATGTGCAAATACACTTGTAGAAGCGAATTGAAAAGTTCTCTGTGACAAATACTAACATCATTTTTACTTGTTTTCATAACTGATTCAAAATCGGCATCCCGATATATTCTTAAGTTTTACGTATTTATCTGGCTTTTATTAAAATTTATTTTGCACGCATTGCACTTCTTACTGATATATAAGTGAACAGTTATAAGATGTTAGTAATGCCACTGGTGGATAGAGATTCCATTGGATTCGAGTCTAACAAGTTTTATTGATCGGGTTCAAATCGAAACAAAACTTTGATGCCTATAATAATATTTTTTTCATTTCTTGAGATTTTTATTCGATTTATTCAGAAAGTGTTTAGTTGATGTATAAAAACACTAGAAAACAAAGAATAATAAAACTTTCTTTGACTATAATATCTAAACCTACAGGGTGTGTCCCAAAAGTTTTCTTTACAGATTTTTCTGCGTATTTTTATATAAATGTCTGTGCCTATTAACATAAGAATAAAAAGAATTTCATAAATGATCAAATTTGAGTCATCTACGTTTGTGAAGTAAAAACTGCAAATCGAATTTGGCAAAAGACACACTAAATTAATATTGCATTAAATTTACGTTTGAATGTTTTTATGACACTAGTATATTGAAAGATCGTCGAAAATTACAGAAGGACAAGTCGATGAAGTTCATGAGGTTTGTGATTCACTTTTCATAAACATCATGATCTTCGTCGACTTTTTCTTCTATAACTTTCGACGGTCTTCCACTGTACCAGTTTTACAAAAGCATTGCTATGTAACTTTTATGGAATCTTCATTTCTCAGGCAGACAAAAATATCTGAAGACGCGTGTAAGCGGATATCAACAATAAAAATGCAAAGTACATACGTGTGCACGTACAAAATTTACTCTTTTTAGTCATTTTTACGCCCACGGTATCAAATAAGCGTTTAAACCTCCAAAGATAACGGTTTTTATGACGTTTAATCACATTTTCTAGAGCCCTTGTCTGCCTGTATTGGTGTATTTGTTGTCCTATTTGACTTGCAACTTTCGTTTCACAACCATAGGTGACTCAAATTCGGTCATTTATAGCACTATTTTTATTTCAGCGTTTATAGACACAAACATTTATCTGAAGATAGACAGAAAAAGAATTTAAAAAACATACATCTTATAAAAAAAAGCGATAAAATGTCTTAGATTGCATAAGAGATATTTACGTTAACTTTCCAGATGAACTTTTGGGACACTATATTTATCGTCGGGTTCGGATTCGAAAAGATTTCACCGACCGAGGCCGGATCCAGAAATTCGTGGATCCTATGTATTCTAGTGGCAGTGTGATGACACTAGCAACTCGTTGGAGTTGCCTAGCAAGCCCATCAAATGTGAGAGAACGAAAGAAAACTTGCTTCATTCCCTTAAATTTAATTGGTTAGCCACACAAATCCAGCAAGCTGCAAGTGCTATCGGCTCGCCAGTGCTGACATCCTATACTAAAGCAAACATATGTATACATTTATGTCGTGTCGAATTCATTCTAACCTAACTAAAATGTTAAAAATGATTCCATTAATCAAGATATTACGAAAATATAATTTAAAGATACCATACCGTAACCCAGTGGCATCTATATCAGAATACAACAAGTATTGAAAAGATCTGTTTCACTATAGTTTCACTTCGCTTTCTGTTCAAATTTTGAAAACGTAATTTTATGAGCTTTGCTATTTTTCTTTTTTTTATGTTTTTGAGAGCATATTTGTGCTACTATTGTAATTTCTATAAATAAATATACATGTGCAAATAAAGATAAAAGACTCTCGAGAAAACAAGATCACATAAGTCGAAAATGAAAGAAAATCAGATATGCAACATTGTGAACAACACTTGAAAACCACACATGAATCGTATCATGAAAGATCATATAGCAAATTCCTATATGATCTTGTTAGAATTATACGAGACCTTATAATAGGACTATTTGATCTGGGCTAGTGTATTATGTTTGAACGCTAATGATTTACTCTTGTTTTTCAAATTCATGTCTTGTTAACGTATCTATTTCTGTGAAATTTCACAATTAAAATAGTTTTCTATTCAATTGTTGGCACATAATGTTCCAGAACAAAGAAAAAATGATCTAATGAATCATTTTTAATTCCTAAGATTTCAGCGTATAAGTCAAGGAGAAACAAACCCATTTCTGTGTGAGAAATCATTAGAAACCACTAGAAGTCATTTTAACATCTCAAAGATACAAATAATGACTGGAAATTGTTAAAAATTATCAGAATTCATCAGAAGCCATTAAAAATCAATGGAAATCACTCTAAATCATAGAAAACCTCCAGTAATAAGATGAAAAATTACACAGCCTTGATTTCTAATGATTTTGAATGATAGAAATCACAGGCATCAATTTGTCTCCCTTATTTCAAGTAGTCTCAGGAATCACATTTGATTAAGACACTTTCATTCTCGAATAAATCTACGATTTTCTCAATATATAAAATGCTGTAGATAAACCTATTATGTTCCTAACGCCGATGACAATATCGATAAATGAAGATGCCTTATAGATTGCAAACTTTGAAGCAGATAGATTTCATTTTCTGTGAATTCAATTCTTTTTTTTGTACGATTATCAAAATGAATCCCTTGATTATTATCTGGTAATCTTCTAATTTTTCGGTTGTAATTTTAATTTGTATAATAAATTCTCACAATATTGTTATCAATGAAATCATTTTACCTTTTTAGTTAACTTCGAGTAACTTCGATACAACGAATAATTTAATATATAAACCTTGATATATACTCGAAGAGTGATAGATGCAGAACAAAAAAACAATTGTCGTTATTTAATCTCAATGCATTGGTGACAAAACAGACATAAAACATTAAAAAGAGACAAAAAATTGAATAATAATCACTGGACCACATACATCTTTACTAATGTCCGCGCCAGAATTAAAGAGGGGTTAGTGTAAATTGAATAACTCAACAACAGCAACAGCAAGCGACCTGCGGTTTTCACCAATCGAAAGAGCAAACCGGGGGACGTATTTTTTCACGATATTGTTTCGGGCAAAATTGCTTTGGACACTATCATTTCTGAAAGTCTTTTCTGAGAAGACGTACAAATGGTATGCCAATACAATGAATTTTTATTTTGATATTCTCATTAGATAGAGGGACTTCAGATCTATAGTTCAAGATACAATGCAAATTGTTGTCTTATTATATTCTAACGTTGAGCAAATGGAACCATGCATTTACATGCGCAAATAATAGGGAATTTTGCTGATTTTTTGCTAAGTTTTCGCACTTTTTATCATAATAGCTTGACATTTCGATGAAAATGTAATGAAAAGTAAGCAAGGGCATTGTATCTTGAACTATAGATCTGAAGTCCCTCTATCTAATGAGAATATCAAAATAAAAATTCATTGTATTGGCATACCATTTGTACGTCTTCTCAGAAAAGACTTTCAGAAATGACAGTGTCCAAAGCAATTTTGCCCGAAACAATATCGTGAAAAAATACGTCCCCCGGTTTGCTCTTTCGATTGGTGAAAACCGCAGGTCGCTAGCTGTTGCTGTTGTTGAGTTATTCAATTTACACTAACCCCTCTTTAATTCTGGCGCGGACATTAATCACATACTAACCATGAAGATAAAGAAGTCTACGAGATATTAAATTTGTTTTGTTTTACTTTCTTTTTTTCTAAGCCACTATGACTTTCATAAATTTTAGCCCCTTTAGGATGTGAGTGTGTTTGGAATAGAGGCCTTGTTCTCATTCTGAACTATAGAAAAGTAAAACGAGATAAATTGAATTTCTCGAAAACTTATGACGAGGGTAGATCTATGTAAGAACTTGGTTAACATGCTATCGGACGGGTGATTCAACACCAGCAGCCGTTAGTAACTGCAATAGGATAGACTAAGCATACTATTTTTGTATATTTAAATAGATCAAACCACTTTATGTTACAATCAATTCGTCTACATCACAAGATGAAATTCGACGTAAACATATAGAAGTTTAAGAATGTTTTGTTTTTTTATACAGAATTCTTTTAGCAACCACATTTGTTCTTTATGCTACTGGTGTATTATGTTCTTGGACAACTGAACAAGAACGGGCCGAATTGACGCAATATATATATGATGCACTTCTTCTTGTTGCTAATCAAAAATTATCGATAAATACTTTACTAGCAATGTATGCAGAAATTGGGTAAATGATGATATTATTTCTAAATTTTTTTTCTGTTTATTAAAATTATAAATAAAACTTTTAGATCTGATACGAATTTTCAAGATATTTTATTAAGTATTCTTCGAGATTCTCTAACAAATACAAATTCACAAGTTCGTTTATATACTCTACAATTATTTAATGTAAGGTTTTTTTTCTTCTTTTATTAACTAAAACAAAATTTTTATATTTTAATTTAGATTACACTAGCACTTGTCGATCATTCGACAATATCCCATAAGATCTTACCAGCATTGATTACGCTTGCATCGGATGATGATATGTAATTATCTTTTTTTTTTGTTCGAACAATATTTTTAACGTTAGTAATTTGTTTTAGAACTGTTCGAACAGCAACTATATCAGTATTCGGATCAATTATTATTCAATGTTCAGAATCTGAAGTAAGATATTAAAGAAAATCATATTTTTTGATAAAATCATGTTGCTCATAAAATATTCATCAAGTTCTATTAATTGAAGTGTGATGTTCGTGTTTGCATGTGCTTTTACAAAGATCACGAATGTTTCATAATTAATTTCTTTGCATACTGATCAATCTATTGTGTCAGTGTGACATTTTAGCACTACATGTTAAGCATGCACCAATATATGAGCTATCATAGGAACACCTTAAGGTTCGAATATTTCTGAACATCGCTGACTTTATTTTAGGATGCTGGTAGTTCTTCAATTTTTGAATCCTCTATTTCACAATTGTGTAGATCTACCATAGTCAACTTTTTGGATTATTTAGTTCAGTCTCTACAAGGATATATGCGAAAGATTTTTTCATCTTTCTATCATTTTAACTTTTTTCTTAAATTAGATTCTTGAACGAGTTTATGCTCAATTTCAAATATTTGATAAGTAAATATCAGGTTTTACCTTTTTTTTACAAGCAATCTTCAATTATTTTACAATTAATAGTGATACAACGTTTCGTGATGAACATCGTGTCCAAAGTGAATTTATAAAAACTTTTACCCAAATTGCACCCCATGCTGAAAGTAAATTTCGTGAAGATTTTGTTCTTCCTTTTTTGGCATTAATTGCTTCACAAAATTCTCAACAACAATCAGAACGTGGTCAAGCAAAACGTCTTGAAATAGCTACATATTTATTTGAAGCCTACAGTGCATTATCTTGTTGTTTTCATTCGGGTCAAGCAATATTAAATAGTTTTCTACCAGGTCTTTATTGTTTACGTGTAGACTTTGCACAATTAAGACCTGATAGTGTTGCTGTACTAGATTCCATTATTAAAGATCTTGAACATAAACTTGAACAATATCGACAAGATAGGTTTGTATTGAAGTTTTTTAATTGAACAAAAAAAAAAAAATCAAAACTCAAGTATTCATTTTATTATTTTAGTTCATTATTAATTGGTGGTACAAATCTCAATCAAGAAAATATTCGAGGACGAATGCTCAAAGGTTTAACGAATTTTCGAGATTCAACTGAAAAATTAACTTATAGATTTATGAAAAAAAAATAAACCCATTATTCTGAGCTTTAATGATCAAAATCTTAGTTTTTTTCTTATATAATGCTCACATGACACATTGACCGATTCGCCTAAAATTCAAATATTTTTGTTTTTTTTTCCTTTTGTGTTTCTCTGTATATTTGTATGAATTTATTTTTTTGTTCTTTTGTGTAACAAAAAAAGCGTATTTCAAAAAGACACTCGAATGTTTATCTTATACATTCTTTATTACTTAATCGGAAAATAAATTTCTTATGACAATATCATTAATATTTTCTTTTTTTTTTGAAAATAAAATAGAATAAATATTCAAATATGTTTCATATCAATTCAGAGAAATTTTTCAATAATTAGATATAGAAAAGACAGTGCAGAACTCCGAAAACAATCAGATTTCACTGGAACAAGCTCGGAAGGAAAACACCGAAGCACAATTGGGAGCTAGACGGACATATACAAAATATTCTCTTCCAGAATGTAACCGTTTGGGTAGATACGTGCATATGCGATCTATCATTTTCTGAAATGGCGATTCTCAAAGTTTTATAGAGTGCAAATTGTACTTTGGAGAGAAATTAATACGATATTCAGAATCACTATATCAAACTCCATCGAATGATATAAAGCTCAATAATATTTTTCAAAAGAAAATTTCCTGAAAAAATATGGGGCGGGGACCTCTAGATATATTTCGACCAAAAAAGTTTTTTCGAAAAATGTTTTGCCTTCTTAAATATGGTCTCGTGAATGATGTGCTATCATTTCTGAGCAATAAACAGCTGTTTTCGCGAAGGAAAGTCGCATTTAAACTTGCTTAAGCAAAAGTTGCTCAAAGGTCTGAGGTCACCCTCAGGTTTTTCTCATTGAAAATTTTCTTTTAAAGTTTTTACTGCTTTAAATGTGATTTCCTGGGGGATATATGGTAATTCTGATTTTCAACAGTTAAACCTCCCCACTGTTCTAGTCCAAAATAATTAAATAAATGTAACATCCTTTGTATTGCTTAGATAGAATGATCAATTGAATCATTTTGATTATGATTGTTATATGTGATATGTATAAAGGCGATCGACTATAATCTGTAATATAGAATGTCCAGAAAGTCATTAGACAAAGAAAAAATTGAATATTTCCGCCATATTTTGACAAAATGGGCTTATATTTTTATCATTGACAAAGGAGTGGTTCATAATTCATATTCATAAGAGAAACATTGTCGAATGTTGTTTTAGAGAATTTACAAGTGGCTTTAGCAAAGAACTACTGTAATCTTTCACGAATTAAAAGAAACAATGTTGCAGTTTTGTCAGCAAGTTCTTCCTATTTATAGTTGAAATTTTCAAAGTTCACTGAGTAACAAAAAATGTGTCTGTAGCATAAATACAAGAGTCAACAACATTACAGTATAGTGAATTAGTCAGAAAAATTAAATATTGTTTATTCTTGTTGAAGAAAATAAATATATTGTTCTTTCATAGCTCGTGAAGGGTTACAATTCTTTGTTAAAACTACTGGTAAATATTCTAAAACAATTTTTGAAAATGTTTCTTTTATGAATGTGAACTATGAATGAACACTCCTTTATCAGTGGTAAAAATATCAGTGCATTTGATTAAAACATGGCAGAGATATTGAATTTTTTCTTTATCTAATGACTTTTTGAGCATCCTATATTTGTGTAGAACATGTCGTTGTCGTTAAATCAACATTGTATGTCTCACCAGTAGAAGTCGTTCTGTGCAATCGTTCGATGATGACAAGGTTTCTCTTTTTCTGTTAAGATATACGTTTATGATTAATCCATTTGCTAAATTAGTTCGACAATCATATATAGAAAGGGAAAAAAATGTCTATATTATAGAGACGGCCGATTTGAATGAGAATTATTCATTGACTTTAAATAAAATAAATTAAATGGTGGGAAAAAGGATGCCTTTTGTTTGGTTTTAACCTTTAAATGACCACCTGGGTTCGTAGGGACTCCAGAGAAGTTTGCTTTAATTTAACGCATGCATATAATGAGATTGAACATTGTTCTTTCAGATGTGCCTTGATAAAGTGTAGTAGAGTACGCTAATAATATCGGTTAATTACGTTCAGTTGTTGTTAATGTGATAGAGAAGCTCAAAGTATATACGATTGCTCAATTGTCAATACATTATTTGAAACGCTACAACAATAGGGAATGATAAAAAAGCAAAAAAGACTCGATAAATATAATTTAAAATAGGTTCTTGTCTGTATGTTCTTGTTGCAGTCAACTCTAGTTTACAGTCTCTACAATTTCATTATAAACTAAAAATAATTTTACGCATTGTTCCTACTTTATCAATGTGGGATTTATGCGGATCTCAGATGATCAATAAGCGCCCATACAATATGTGGACGTTTGAAAGCTACAAATGATTTAATATTTGTTTGTATGAATACAATAAGAAACAGAAAATGAGAAAATAATCATTCAATATGTTTATAAACGAAATATTTCGAGTTGAGTCGTATGATATCTATAAAAGTCGCGTTTATTTGAATTGGAAGAATAAATTTTATATTTATAAAACGTTTTCCATCATAAAAATGATTTGTTGTTCGATTTAATTTATTATTTGATGATAATGATTGAAATATAACAGACCATATTCAATAACATTTAACATAGTGTATGTATTTATTTGAAGACAACTTTGACTAATTCAGATAATTCGAAGATTATTTTTATTATTTTATTCTCTTTTATAAAGCAATGTGTTCATTCAATAGAGTCAGATATCTAATCCCTGATCATCATTCTTTCTTTTCCTAACTAGATGTCTTTTTCTATTTATGTGCCACGTAAGACGCCACAGCGAACACATTAACATAGAAATAAATAATCGAAAAAAAAACAGCATTCGTCTGCGAAGATCTTCAACCATACAGCAATGTTATATTTTTCGTTCAACAAAAAGGTCAATTCTTTTTCCAATGAGGAGTGTTTATGAACAAAGAATCAATAGATAAGTATATGTTGTGGTCAAAATTAAAATTCGGTCAAATTTTTAATTTGACTATAACATATATACATATACGTATATCGTGTTATGACAGGCATTACAACCATATTTAAAGATGAATCAACATAATGTTCATCTTCTTGATCTTTCTAATAAAATATTATTTTCTCATTTTGAAAAAACTTGACAATATTGATGTTCTTTACTCTTTATTGAATATCAACAATCAACGACTTGAAATTATAGCACAAGAACAAATCTTCAGTGATATACTTAATTTTGTTTCCATATCACAATCAAGTGATCAGATAACTTCACTTCCTTCAAAAATACTCGATCGATTTTGTATTTCAATATTATCAAGAATTCATAAAAATGTTAAATCTCTCATTCTTGAATCTGTTTCTATGAAATATATTCTTCGTGCTGGTAACTATCCTAATCTTACTCAACTTAAACTTTTTAATTTCACTAAAGCAATATTTTCACGTTATTTCATAGGTAAGATATTTATGTGTACTGATATTTTAAAAGATTAGCATAGAAAAATATTGAAATGCTCAGATATAACAATATCTATGTATTTTGTTTAGATGATTTTCTCTTTGGACATATTTGTAAACAACAAATTACGGATCTCGTTCTTGTCGTTAATGAAAACAATATTGAAATAACAGAAGAAGATTATACAAAGAATGTTTATGCAATTATCTTAGATTTCTTTGAAAACGTGAAGCATTTGACTATTGCTATGCCATCTACCAAACATTATTCAGGATCTACCACAAGTTATCCATGCTTGTCGTTGTATAAATTACCGCCAATGACTTTTTCCTCTTCGACACTTACTAAATTATGTATCAACGTCCATGATATTAATGATGTTCGTTCTTTACTTGATGGTCGTCTTAAACAATTAACTACACTCATCGTTCAAGTTGAATTTATCATGGATTTGAGGTCAACATCTTACAACAGAGTGAGTTTATACGAAGTAGTATTCTCGTTTTTTAACTAGTGTTTAGGATCAAAGATAAAATGAGGCTGATTGGAAGTGCAATAAATAATGAGATTTTTCAATTAGTGAATATAATATTTTTATTTTAATCATTAGGAAAAAATTAGAAATAGATTGTTATATAGTTGTTTTAACATTACTCGAGATGATTTCATAATTAATCATCATTCATTGGAAAGTATTTAACCCAATCTTTGTAGTTATTAAATGACCTGGTAGAAAATATCATGTTTTTTGTATGTTTCCTAATAACTATATGAAACTTATTCATCTACGTTAGAAGAAATTAAATGTATAGTTGTTTTCAACATAAACTTTAGTCAACTGAGTTTTCTTTTAAAATTTCTTTGATTTATAGTGTTCAAATAAACATAGCTATTTAAAAGAACTATTATTTTTCTTGTAAGATCTGTATAATCAATCTTATTGAATGCTTTGAAACATGTTAAGAAAATTCATTCTTACATAATATTTGATGGTTTTGTTGTATTATTCACTTGGTCCTATGTGTCAGAACTTAACAAATAAAAAATAATCATTATTATTAGAGAATACATATATTTTATAGAATATAACAAACATTTAAGCACAGAATTTCGAAAATGAATAATATTTATTGATCAATTGTTTATGTGAATTTATTTTTTAGCTCAACTGATAAAGATGATTTAATAAATATTGCTGTCTGTTTTTCAGGATGATCTACCTAATTTAAAATGTTTCTCATTAACATCTTATAATTTTACTCAAGAATATGATAATCTAATTATACCTCTTCTTCGTCGAATGTCACATCTCGAAGAATTAACTTTAAATATTCTCATCTTTGATAGATCCACACTCATTACTGGTACTCATCTTGATAATGAAATTCTTATTCATATGCCACGACTTCATACATTCATATTTTGTATCATTTCTGAAACTGCTATTACTGATCCAGCTATTCGTATATCTAATGACGACATTGAACGAACTTTCTCAAATCTCAAGCATCAACAGGTGGCTTGTATGGTAGATTATTTCATCCCTCTCAAAATGGTATGTCGCGTCTTTTCACTTCCATTTAAATTTGATCGTCTCGAACACGTCACAAATAATATTCCAAATATTGTATTTAAATCTGTTACTCGTTTAAATTTATGGGACAAAGATCCATTCAAACATGAATTTTTCGTTCGACTTACCCGAGCTTTTCCATTTCTTAAAAAACTATCTATTTGGAATATTCAAGCACCATTTTCGACATTTGACGAACGTCATCTTTCTGATAAAGATTGGTGCTCAATTGTTGAATATCCCCATCTTATTTCACTCGACGTTGCACGCGCAAATACTCATTATGTTGAACATTTCCTCAATGAAACAAAAACACATTTACCTCATTTAACAGAATTAAAAGTTACTTATGACGATTTGGAAATTGTGACAAAAAACTTTACAAGAGATGAAACACGACGTAGTTGTGCTGGAGTGAAACGATTAATTGTTGAAGGTCCAATAAATTATTCGAACGATGTTTATAATTATTTTCCTTTATTGTAAGTTTAATTTTGTGAAAGATATCATCTGAATAAAAATCTCTGTGTAAATTTTAAATTTTTATTTCTTAAAAAATCAGTCATGATGCAAAAAATGCAAGTCGTTTATTAAGATAAAATCTGCTATGGAAACTGAGTTGTTGTGAAAAATAATTGTTAACATAATCTTATGTGTGTGTCTTGCATTATGATCGAAAGATAAAATTGTATATTTCCGCGACACGATAGAGGGATGTCCAAGGATTGAGAATTAGGAATTCCTCCTCAGTTCTCCTAAAGTTTCTTCCATACTAAAGGTAAAAATATGGATTATTCATGATAATTTTTGTTCTTACACTCATTTTCACCTGCAAAATTGTGAGAACTAATAGTTCCATGCACAAATTATTTTTAAAAAAGCAATATCGCGACTTTCGTGAATGGTGGAACTGTGAGGAAACCAATGGTTGATCCCCATTTCCTCTAGGAATTATCACAGCGACACTGGCAGTTCCTCGGTAGATTAGGAATTTCCTATTTCTCAGTCCTTGAACACTGCTGTTTAGCCGATGTTTGATTGACAATAGGAAAGCAAATGTTTGACTGACTATATCACAGAAAATATGTATCCTACGTTAAAGAATATTTTGCAATAGAGAATCCATTAAGCCTTATTTTTCATTTCAAATCTATACAGTAGTTTCTGGCAGCCTTTCTCTCTTCGAATAGAATTCGTTTTTCCAACTATAAGCGAGAGTCATGAAAAACGGAGATACCAGACGATATCATAAAGGTTTTCATTTCAGTCATAAGATAAGACGATGAGAGCTACATTTTTTTCAGCGCAATAAGGATTCACTATCTGTACGTCGTAAAATTTTCTCTTTCTCGTAGAGAAGAGTCTTGCAAACATAAATTGTCTGTTTGCTTGTATGTCCGCACTTCACCGATTGATCGAAGAATGAGGTAAAGATATAAAAGGAATTTTTTCTATAAGGGTNCTTTGGGCTTATCATAGCAAAATATAGATATAGTATAGTGCGGATGACTATTTTTTCCCATTGCACTTTTTTCTGGAAGACATTGCAAAAACTGCATGAATTTGCACAAAAATTGAGTGTCCACAGACGTAACACTCTAAGACTCAATGAATCTCATCGATTAGTGACAAGAATTGTATTTCAATACATTTACAGCAATGAAATTCGAAACTTTTTTTCGAGTACCATCGCGGCAGCGGCGACACCCTTTTGGAAATTCGTTGCGGCGCGGGAGAGAAGAATTTAAAAAAAAATCATCGCGCGCGGCAGCGCCGCTGCAGATTTTCTCTCCAATCTCCGCGGCGCGGCAGCGGCAGATTTCGAGCCGCGATGGACATCTCTGGGTACTATATGACATTTTCCTATTTTGGTTATTCTTCTTGGTTTTCGTAGAATTTTATCCTATTACTGTGACTGAAAATGTATATATGATTTCAAATTTATTTTCAACGTTAAAATATGAGTCTATTTCTCCTATAAAAAAATTTTTTCTCATATCAAAGACTCATTTTAAGGTCGTAATATCTTATGATTTGCAAGACAAACACTGACCACTCAATGAAAACTTTTTTCTAGGCAATTCAAAAGAAATATTTTTATTTTTGAATTAATTTCATCTTATTTTTCTATTTCTTTCGGTCTTTTATTATTTAACACAATCAATCATATTTTTCTCATCCTTAGTCACATGTTTTGATGGTCAAATTACGCTTGTTTTAATGTAGTTCACAAACAACATATCTTTGTATTGTCAAGGCTTTTACTAATCATTCTATGTAATTCATTCGTTCCAAGCAAAATACATAGCTATTTCCCAGTGAAAAATATTTGCTTCAACGAACGGAAAAGAACGCGTCCCGTAAAATTAAAAGCCCTTTTTTTTAAGAAAAGAAAACGTTCCAACAAAAGTGGAAAGAGTTCCAAAATAGAACCATTAAGAACACATTCCATGTTTTTTGGAATGCGTTCTTAACTGTTCCAGATTTTTTCGAACGTTTTCTTTTCTCAAAAAAAAGCTAACGTTATTGGGACCCATTCTTGATCGTTATTGCCTGAATTTAGATTTACTATAAGAGTTCTCGAAGAGAAGTTCAGACTTAATTTTTTAAAAGAACGATTCCGGTGCAACTCGACTAGCTCTATTCAATGGCATGCTCTAATTTTTCGTAGTTCAAACCGTTATTTAAAAAATTTCTTTTGGAATCAGAATTGCCAGTTGTAAAGTGTGACTAATTGAAGGTTCCACCACTTTTGGCACCAGTTTCAGGGTGTCGTACTTCAGAACTGTCATTTTTGAATCAAAAGTGACGCTAAATTCAGATGAAAGTGTTCATCAGTCGAAAGAACATATTCTCAGGTGTTTTTCAAGAGAATGTTAAAAAAGCGGTCTCATTTCGATGAAATCCTATCTTGACTGTTTCGAAATAGAATGGGCAGAAACATGTTCTATTGGGTCATGAAACGGTTTAGAACGCTTTCTATCCAGATAGAGAACGATTTTTGAACTGAGAAGAAAGCATTTCGTACTAGTGCGGAACAGTAAAGAATGAGTTCCTTTAAACGCAGAACTTTTCTTTTTGTTTATGAAAACATTCGCTAAGCTGTAGAACACATTCTTCATGTAAAAGACAAGTCTCTACATTTTTATGTATGCGTTTTCTTCCATTATTTTTAGAAATATTTTTCACTGGCTTTGACTATTCCTTGTTCAATATATGTATTCAACTACAAATCATTCATATAATTGTTTGAAATATAAATATCAGTTACATAGAAAATGACGCGTAAATATTATTTTCAGTCAAATTTTTAGAACTTTTGGGTGTGGGTGTGGATGGAGATGTATTGAAATCGCACACCCACCCCCATCCACACCCACCCATACGCACAACCTTTATTTTTTTTTGACAATCGTAATGGCAACTCAGTGTAAATAATAAATTCGATAATAAATCCATTAGGTAGAGCAGTAGATATAAAAGAAGAGAGAAGTAAGTAAATGACTGCTACGAAGTACCTGAAAATTCTTAACTAAATTCAATGGTTATTTTTATTTCTTCGAGCTTTCAGTGGAATTCTTTCACTTTAACACTGGATATAAAAGAATTCTCGTACTGTTAACGAATCAAATTCATTCATGTCAATTTGATGTATTCATAAAAGTACACAGATCGTAAAAAAAAGTTGCTCGATTTTAGAAATGAAGCCATTGTCAAAGACCGGGACCGGGACTAAAAAAAAGCGATTTTGCAGATCCCTAGTTGAAGTTTCTTTTCAAGCATTAGTTTTTTCACAAATGGTAGAACAAAAGTCTGAAACAACAAAATACAGAATGTTTTCACAAATAAATTGAAAAAATACCATGTTTGAATAATTTTTGAAAACTTTGAATAAGTAGATTTTGTAAATGAAATAGTAGCGTAGATTTTGAGATAGTTTCAAGAATGTATTACTTTTCATTGCAGAAAAATAACGGTCGTACTATCAAGAGCTAGTTCCATCAGTGTTGTTTCTACCACATTCGAAACCAGATGTTTCTGATTGGAGAAAGAGAATTTACCAAGTTCCTAAAAACGTTTTGTGTAGCGAAGAGAATTTCATCGTGCCAGTTTTAAATATCAAAAATATTTATGGATAGAGGAAAATTCGTTGAATTCCATTCTTAAATATGAATTCACTTCGAATAACAAGTTGGTGAGGCATAAAGGCTTCTAATCATTGAAAAGAATCAAATCCACGACGTTACCAGGTACAAAACGGCATGATATTTCATGCTATATATATTTTAAACGGCTTCTACGACATGACTGATTTCCCATCTTATCATGCGAGGTTCTTTATTAGATATTGAAGCAAAACGACTTGGACATCTTGATTGGAAACTTTTGTTCAGTATCGGATTTCGAAAGCAGGAAAAAGAACGATCATTAATCGTATTTCATAGGGATGTGTTTAAACTTTTTCTACAAGGAAACAAAGAAACTATTACACTCTTGGCAACTTCATGATTCATCGGACTCATTCGACATTTGTCTGTGCCTCTCCTACCACATTTTTTTTCTATTTTGAACATGTCAAAATCAGTCAGAAAATGAGATGTGTTTTCATATTTTTTGAAATCAATCTTAAATAAAATTGGCTCTGTCAAGAGTTACTTTTTACTTATATAGCGTTATCATCCAATCTTCAGATAATATTTTCGACGGAACTGACTAATATATATGATTCATTTTCTCCGACTATTCTTACATCATATATTTCTTTTTTTAGTAAGAATAAGCTGATTTATTTTTGATAACTAACCAATAGAATAATGAGTATTTGATTTGTGTTTAATTGCAGACAATTATATATACTTGAGTTCTCTGTTCATGAATTCAAGAAATGTAATAAAATTAATTACTATCAAAATAGATGAAACGATCAACTATTCAAACAAAAGAAAATTATGAAAACGTCGTCTTTATTAGTAATCATATTATCAGATTAGTCAAACTGTGAATCATTACTATAATTGGACGTGAGTATGGGTGTGGGTGTCAGTGCGAATGCGGAAGCAGTTACGGATGCAAATGTTGATCCGCTTCAGCAATACCCACACCAGCATACCGAGTCTAAGAATTGGAATTACTGCATTCCTACTTTCATCATTTAACCACCTAGTCCTTCATCAATGAAATGTTATTTACAATTGAAATTTTTATCAACGTACTGACAAGCAAGTCTAGGTTTGATCAAATAAAAGAGAATGTATTTGTTTTGAACTGATCACTATTTTCTATTCTAAAAATTTCAAATCCTTATCATATGTTTATGCTTCATGATTTCTAGATACATTATTTATTACAACTCTTTATTTCAAATAACTATTTTTCTTTGCCCACTTATTACAACACTAACTTACTTTAATTAGTGTGAACATTTATAAAAATTTTCTTTTATTTATACATTAACCAACAAAAAAAAATCAAACAATGGTAGGCATCGATGCAAGAAATAAACATATTCTTGATCCAAAATATATTTGTTCTGTATGTTCCTTGATATTACGGGATCCTATACAACTGACTGAATGTGGTCATCGTCAATGTCAAACATGTTTAAATCCTGAACAACAGTAAGTTTCGTTATAAATTTGAGGTATTATGTTTCATTTTTCTTCTTCAAGGACAACAATTAAATGTCTACAATGCCAAACTGAAACATTACGAAGTGATGTAAGATATCTTTTGATAATTAAAGTGAAAATATATTTGGGTAAATCCATGGGTATCCAACCACTTTTTGGGAAAGTTTTTTTAGGAATTTTTTATACTGGTTAGGCGTAAGGTGGATAGAAAATAGATTTGGCCGAAAGAAATGTATGACTTCTACCTGAAATACAGTGAGCCTCAATTGGTTTTCCCCTATTAGTATTTTTCACTTTTCTCCACTGTAGTTTGTCCTTTTCCTAAAACCAAACCCGTAGAAAGAAAGTGCAGATTCGACTGCCCCTTTTGATATAGGGCAATCATGAATCAAATAGAAATCGAAATGAGAAAAATGGATCAAAAGAAAACATAGTATTTTTTTCACTATAATCTGCAAATGTAGACTATTGTATCTCTAGTTTTTCTCCGTTTGCATGTAAATAGACGTATGCACGCGCAACTTTTATGTGCATATATGATAGATCATTGCCAGATATCTCTATCCACTCTACGAAAGACTATGATTGTGAATACATATTCAGGATTGATATAGAAATATCAATATGAAATTTAGTCGTAACCCGTCAAGCCAAGGATTTAAGTTCAAAGAAACATTGGACTTGTTCTGTTGCTTGTATTTATCTGTTCTTTTTCTCTCGTCAATTTCGTTGCCTATTTTCACGTTGAACAAATAATCTTTGAACATAAATATTCGTACTCTCTATCTATCGAATGATTTTATACTGTTTCTGTCCACTGTTTTCATGATGGCACAATACGATAAATACACTAATGATTTCAAACACAACGTTTTGCAGGAATATCGTCATGGAATTTACGGGTGTGGGTTCAGATCATTAGCAAAACGTTTTAAAATCAAAAGTTTTCATAAATTAATGATGAGCTGGTATGCCCGATGGAATGGTACAGTTGAATCCTTGGAACCAAAATGGGCAGGTGGTCGACCACGTACCATGATAAAGGACCAAGTAACGGATTACATTTTAAATTTTGTCGATGAGATGAGCAAGCAATACAAACCGGTGAATTGCAAAATGGTACAAGAACACGTTGAAAACTCATTAAATAAGCAAGTTCCATTGAAAACGGTTCAAAGATACGGTAGACAAGAATGTGGCATCAAAAGTAAAACAGCTAAGGAGTTAACCACACGTGATAATAAGTATTCCAGCTTCATTATTAGTGGATTTGATCATTACCTTTCAATGACATTTTTCTAATTATAGTTGATGATAGGTATTGGCATGATATTGCGAAATTTCGAAGACGTTTACAAAGATTGGCTAACGATAGGTTAATATTTATCGATGAAACTACCATTTATTGCAACATGTATCCTCGTCGAACTCTTGTGGCATCTGGGAATCAGCCTCTAATTCTTGTTGAGAAACCATCTGCTTATTCTCAACGTTATGATTTCATTGGTGCCATCAATGGTTCCAAATCAATTGCTTGTATGGTTTTAACACCCGATGACCGAAAAGCAAAAGGTATTGAAGGTATCCGAAAACATGTGGTGAATGATTGGATTATCAATACATTAGCTCCAGCAATTAATGCATTAAATATCGACAATATGTATTTCATTTGCGACAGAAGTCGAGCCCATCAAAAAGGCAGTATGATGGAAGCATTGAAAAAAGCGAAATGTAAATCAGTATTGGATATTTATTTCATGCCAACAGCTTCTGCTAAATACGTATCACCATTAGATAATTCTCTTTGGCATTCCATCAAGGAAGTTATTCGAAGCCATCATCCGATTACAACAAATAATCTTTCAACGCTACTTTCGGAAACTTTTCTTTCCCTATCGAAAAATGAAATAGCAAACGCGTTTCGAAAATGTGCTATTACATATGGAGTTGATGTTTTTTATGATAAACCATATTGATGTGATGCGTTTCCTTCTAATATAATCCAGATGCAATAGCAAATGTAGTGAAAAAAAAATACTATGCTTTCTTTTGATGCGTTTTTCTCATTTCAATTTCTATTTGATTCATGATTGTCCTATACAAAAAGATGCAGTCGAATCTGCACTTTGTTTCTATGGGTTTAGTTTTAGGAAAAGGACAAACTATAGTGAAGAAAAGTGAAAAATACGAATAGGGGAAAACCAATTGAGGCTCACGGTACTAGAGATTTAAGTCATTTTCTAGAAACGTCCAAGGAAGAGAACGATCATCTTGGTTATTACAATGTTTAAAGCTCATATTTTGTCCATAAGTAGAAGGTTACTAAGCTAGAACAACTTCAAAAGGATTCTTTTTTTTTCAATGTTTTATGACCGAACTATAAGATTTTTAAGGAGTACGACTTTAGCACAGTTTTGGCCAAAATATTTTTATCACAAGAAATATGTAGAATTTGTTCTTCTTAAAAACCTTCTATCTCGGTCATAAAACATTGAAAAGAACAACCCTTTGGACGCTGTGCTAGTCTAGTGATCTTCTACTTATGGACAAAATATGAGCTTTAAATATTGTAATAACCTAGATGATTCTTCTTCTCCTTAGATGTTCCTAGAAAATGACCTGAACCTATGGTATTTCAGGTAGAAGTCATAAAAATTTTTGGGCCAAATCTATTTTCTATCCACTATACGTCTAATCAGCATAAAAAGTTCCATAAAAAAAACTTTTTCTCAATAAGTGGTTAGATACCCATGGATTGATCCATTTCTTTTATGTAGATACGGCCTGATCGAGGCGTTAAAAATGAGATGAACTCATTATCCATTAATTGTTCTTTTTGCCAATGGACTGGTATCTTGAATAACTATCAAGTAATATATTTTATATTTACTTTATTCTCGAATCTTCTTTTCATTTTCTTTCAAAGACACATCTCGATCAATCTCATTCAAATCTCAAATGTGAATATTGTGGCGAACATTTCGAGTCGGTTTATAAATTCAATGAACATAAAGTCTTCGAATGTCAACTACGCACTGTTGACTGTATATTGAAAGGCTTTGGTTGTAATGAACGAGTATGAATAATCTCTGGGCGGAATTAACATTTCGAACTTCATGTTCTTTAGGTTATCCATGCCAAAATGGAAGATCATTATTTGACTGAACAACATCAATATGCTGTAGTGAAAGTTGTTCGTCAAATGTTATCTCAATTAAATGGCAGACAAATGGATATTGATGTTTCTCGAACAACAACAACAACAACAACAGCTTTAAATTCTGATGTTATTCAATTAGAAGAGTTTTATGAAATGCTCAATATCTTGGTAGGTGGCATCGAAACATTGACTAGCGATGAACAACGTCTAACCAATGAATCACTTCAAATACAAATGACACTTCCAGCATTGACAGAAGTATTATCGAAAGTGAAATTATCTATTGAAGAATCAAATTCTTTTTTGAAAGCAGTAAAATATAATCAAGATATCCTCAATCAAGATTTATCATCATTACAAGAAAAAGTCAATGATTCACAGAGTGTTTCATATGATGGATCATTAGTTTGGAAAATAACGAACTTTCGAGAAAAAATGAGTAAGAGAAATAATTACTTTTATATTCAATGATAAAAACAGAAAATCTTATCGAAAAGATAATCAAAAAATAAAATGTTATTCGATTTCCATAAATATCGACAAAGAATATATTAATGATTCAATATCACATTCAACATAATATATTATATTTATTCTCGAACACAATCTATGAGTTATGTATTAATGAATCATCGACACGAATCATTAATGCTGTCGATCAACTAAATTTCTTTATACTTTCTTCTACTCTTCTTTGACGTGCCTTTTTTTGTTTTATTTCTAGTTGATGCACAGGCTGAAAGACAAACATCAATTTATTCACCTCCATTTTATTCATCTCCAAATGGTTATAAAATGAGAGCTCGTCTTTATTTAAATGGTGATGGAAATGCTCGTCGTACACATATGTCACTCTTTTTTGTGCTCATGCGAGGTTTAAACGACCCCATTCTCAAATTTCCATTCAACTATAAAGTCTCGTTTTTCTTATACGATCAAACGCCTGCACAACGACATATTATTGATTCATTTCGACCAGACATTAAATCATCTAGTTTTCAGCGACCTCGATCGGATATGAATATAGCCAGTGGTATACCGAAATTTATCTCATTGGAAGCAATTCAACAGGAAGAAAGTTCGTATGTACGAGATGACACAATGTTCATCAAAATTATGGTTGATTTTGGAGAAATACCAAAAACATTATTACCCTACGTTTTGAGTCTCAATCCAGGTCTCCCAACTCATGTTCAACAAGCAATGATCAAGCTAGAAATGGAACGAAGATCTCAACAACATTCTGGCGAGTTACTGTCGACACCTCAGGTGTGACCCACCGTCAGTCAATGCAAGGAGAAAATGCGTACTTCTGTACTTTAGAAGAGTCAGAAGCACCGAGAAGTACCAAGAAGTTCATCGAGGCACTTAGAACTACAATGAATACGTCGATATACATCAATGTGCTTAACAGTTCCTTCACATTTGTTTGTAAGGAAAAACTCGAGATCTGTAGCTTCAATAAACTGTACATAGACAACGCACAAAAGTGGGTGTGAATAGAAGGAAGTCATTCATAGTACACTTATACACACCTACTTCGACATCCTCGCTCATCCACATTTCATACGCACATCATTCTTACGTGATTTTAACTAACTGTGGCGATTTTATTTTCAAAAAATTTGTATGTTAGAGAACAAGGAGAATATTCTGTCGAAATAAAAAAAAAGCTAACATTGATAAACTATCTGTATGTTTCTTAAAGACAAAAGCAGTATCTAAAAAAAGGAAGAAGAAAAACAATAAATCTTCGTCAGAGAATGATGGTGTTCGTGAGACATTAATCTGTGAAGTATGAGGGCCTTTCCTTCACCCACACGCGCTTGTGTGAATTGTCGATGTACAGCGTCAATAAACTGTACATCCCTGGGTTTTTCTTACAAATAAATATGAAGGAATTTTTACACACATTGATGTACATCGATATATTTAATTGTAGTTCTAAGTACTTCTGTGTACTTCTCTTAGCACTTCTCGGTACTTTGTTCTTCTAGAGTACAGAAAACGCTTTCATCTTCTTATTCAATTTACATCAAATTTTCAATCAAGAATTTTCTATTTTAAAGTTATAACTTTTTTATAATTTAAAATATAAACCAGACGTTATTTTAAGCTTTTCATGTTTTTTGATAATTATGCAAGACCTACTGATCTTCCGTAGAAGGCGAAGTCATTTCGTTGTCTGATAACAGGACACTGTACTGACAGCAAATTTCTTTTTAAAGATCTACCATTCAGATAGTTTTATCGAAATTTTTGGTATCTTAATAAATAGATCGTTTTTTGTTCGATCTCATTTGAGGAAAAATATTGGCTTCGGAATGAAAAGTCTATACTTCTTTGCCAAAAAGAATGCAAGGTTTATATAGATTTTTGATAAAATTTTGTTTTTATTACTAATGTTTAATGACTTTCAATTATTCATACTACATAAATATACCAATAAATATAATCGTAAAAAAGATCTGCTATGCGCTCGCATTACTCATTCACATTCACCTTCGATAAATAAAAATATATGCAATCCATTTTGATCGAAAATTACAATGATTTGAAATGAAATTTATTGTCGAAAATTCTGGTCACGAGTTTTTCTTTTTTTAGTGCTTTCAACTTGATGTTGGTGTTATTGAACGAGTGCCTATTTAATTAGCTGTTATTCGTGACATTGATAAAATGATTAACTTAGCAAATATTGCGTCTCATTATGAAATATAACCTTCTCATTACTTGTTTCAATTGACAGTCTTTCAATTTAGATAGAAAATGTTCGTTTCATTTATAAAAGAATAATTGACAGTAAAATCTTTTTTTCATTTATTGTATACTAGATCTTGGCCACAAAGATGTTCAAAGCTGACTGCTATATCTTTGGCTCGGTAGAGTCTCGAAGACATGACTCACTATGGTTATTGAGCTTTTATGATTATTCGAAAATAATACAAAAAAAATATTCAAATAAATTTTATCATGATTATGCATTTTATGAAAACGTTGTTTATGCACTAAAAACAAAACTTGTCAGCACATTCTCTTTGAGGGTTAAATGTGAAACTCATATGTGCTCCTTAGTTTCATTATGCTAATAAAAAACATGTAAAGCGAAAAATCTCGAGCACACTCGAGAATAATCGATAGAGTGTGGGTGGGTGTAAGTACCGCATGAGTAATGGTGTTTATATATGCTTATGATTCAGCGTTGGTGTGGGTTGATGTAGGTGTAGCGTATCTAAATGTATGCGAGTGTCAGAAAAGGCAATACCGAAACTTACAGATACACCGCACATCTGCACACAATTCATTGACACTTTTGGTCATGCTGATGAAAATTTGAAGTTGAATGATGGAATTTTGACATGCTGTATTATGCTTGTTGATGTTTGAATCTAACCGAATGATGAAGTTATTGAGAAAATGTTACCAGTAGAAATATTTTTCTTTGAGTAATGGCATTTGTTTTTGGAGATATTCTTATTCACTGTATTGGTCTTAGTTCGAGACGATTCATTGTTACTCATCGACTTCGAAGTTTTGCGCATCATACATGCAGAGAATAGCTTGAAAAAGCTTGTTAGCGTAGCCCCTTTGGGGCTGAAATGTGGAACTCACATATGCTCTCTAGACTCATTAAACTAATACAAAAAAAACGTAAAATGAAAAATCTCTCGTTAACTGTAATCGTTTTGCAGATAATCAATCACTGAAGTAAAAACTTCTCTAATTTCTGCATTTCGAACAAATAATGTTTTTTTTCTACGGGTCCCCAAGTTTTTGTTTTTGTTATTGCTATTCGCTCATTATTTTTCGTTTTTTTTTTAAATCATTTTTCTTACTTTATCATTCTTATTATTATCATCATTGGATTGATTGACAAATAAGTGTGTTTTACATATCTATTATATCTACAGCAGATCTTACACACTATCATATATATTAATTAAGTCACAAATAATGATATACATTATTTTTCAAAATTATAACTTGATCAATTTTCCAAAAAAAAACTATAGGAAATCTTACACCTTTTATTGTCGATTGCTAAGGTCCGTAATGGGGGTGCTTGTAATGGGGAGGGGGAAGCCGCGAAAGCTTACATTCACTATTTTCTTCGAAAATATATGTGAGTTCCACAAAATGAATATGAATCGATCGATATTTTTGAAATATCAGCACAGTCAAATCATCGACTTTGTATATTAATTATTTGAGAAAGTTATTTTCGATTGTCAATAATTGCTTTCAAAAATTGTCAATGATTATTTGAAATATTTATCAAATTAATTACAATATGGATTATATAAAATTAAACGAAAAAAACAAGAAATTAGTCGTCTTTTTTTTAGTTTGTGTGTATTCATTAATCGATCCCATATTGTTAAAAAACTTCCATAATTCATTGTTGCATATTGATGATGATAATCATGCTGTAATGTACCATATAATAGTCATGGAAAATAATATTGTGAAGTTATATATGGTAAATCATAACCACTATGAGCATTTATTGCTTGATAAACACGTATTGATATCCATAAGCATAATGTAAATACATGTTTATCTTGAACTAGAAAAGGTCCAAGCCAAACACCAAGTTGATTTTGAAATATTGATTCTAATAGATGAGCTAAAACAGATACAAAACCTGTTGTTTGCTTAAAAACATGATGTTTTTATGTATATATTTATATAATCAACGTGTATGAAATAAATAATGTGTCCAAAAAAGATATCAAATCTTCTATTAACCCTTTGGGGACGGAGTTTTTTTTTGAAAAAATTAAGCCTTTTATTAGAGTGAAAAGAACGAAAGTAACGACGGATAGGAGAACACGAAGCCCTTGTGTATATATGTATATAGGAGAATAGGAAAAATACCAAGGTAGNGTACAAATTAGTTCATATGCATTTTATATGACCGTATCACAAATACAAATCAGATTAAAATTTCCCCAAAATATGTTAGCTAATTTTAGCATTTGGTCTCAATCAATAGAAGTCCTAAAATATAAATGGTAATATTTTTAAAAACTGATTTATGACCCATTCTAAGAGATTTAAATGAATAATCATTGATTTTATTAAAAAGAGTGCACCATGAAGTTCGTATGGAAAAACCCAGTGATTTTTTTGTGATTCATGTACTGCTAAGTAAATATCTACGATATCATGTTTTCTTCTTTTTTTTCTTTCTTGCGTTCCTTTTAATTTTTTATCCATAGAATAAGTTTGTGCATTCAAAATGATGAAGATTCGTGAGTCAATTTTTTTACAATGAATTTTGACGACATTTTGTCTGTTGAAGTTCGCAAAGTACAGAATTTTTGACTCATTACACACATAGAGATTCATATATACATATATTTATTTAAAAAGCTCTGTCATTGTGAAGTCAACATTACATGTTATGAGTTAAGTCCTTTTTTTTGTTTTAATCACTGTTTCTTTTTATATGAATAAGGTAAGTAATTTTAATATCATTCAATAAGTATTATCAAAATCAACTCTTTATTTTTTGTGAAAAATATTACAAATTGTTGCTTTTATTTTGGAGATTTCTCATTCTGTCATACTGTTCTATAAATTATATAAACATACATCTACAATTGAGTATTTTCTTTATTTTTGTAACAAATACTAGAATAAACATTAGTCATTTGTAATCAGGACTTTTTTTCTAAACTATATAATATAGGAAATAACGTGTTTTACATACTTCTAGAATTGTACTCTTTTACTCTTGATGCATGATTTTGTTTGTCTTTCAGATGAATAGTGCAATGCTTCGTAATGACGCAAAAAAAAGTGTTCTTAATATAAAGTTTGGTTGTAATGTCAACATTGGTATTAAAAGATCCAATTTACCTAAATAGTTGTGATCATCGACAATGTCAATCATGCTTTGAGTCTCAACATGAGTAAGTTGCATTATTGAATTAATCTTATTTTGTTTGTCATTGTGGATGATGGAATGAGTGGATCAAGAGGCGATATTCATTCACATATATCTTTATATATACATTCAAATATACCTTAACGAATGGGCAGCTACAATCTGCTTTTGGCAATCATTGGAAATCAGTCTTTAATAAATTTGACTGTATCAAGAGTTAGTATTTACTAATCTAACATCATGATTTAATGTTTAGAGCCATCATAACTAAATGACTACGTTGTTCGACACATATCCACATGGTACTGTGTTCAGACCTCAGTATCAGCAGCTCTATAATGACCCTGGGCAATGCACTAACAGTTAATTGTCTCGGATCAGTCTTTCAATAGCATACTGAATACGTTGTGACATATACCTGCTTGTTGGCTGGTATGTTATTTAGTTAACTGGTATGGGAAGCTCAAGCTATTGCTATTAATTCTGTCACTCAGCAAGCACTCCATACTCCACGATAACCGAAAGGCAAGATTATTCTTCTTCTTCTTCATGTAATTTTCATATGATATTTTTGACGAAATCGATTAATACATACAAATCATTCACCTTGGCAACTTATTCATCATGTATTTCTTTTAAGTAAAGACGACATATATTTTTTTGATCTACCAAGTTAATGCAGTAAAATGAATCAGTATCCATATAATCGAAACAATGAATCACTTTAACAAAATACGAAAAATTCTGTGAAAGTAGTCATTTTATTATGAAACAAGTTAAACTATGAAACATTGCCATAATTTAAATGAACCTGTATAATTCAGTCATTTTTTTTTATAGAATTCAACTAAATTTAGAGAACAGCTTTGGATGTGTCTACTAGCATTCAGTTGATTTATATCAATGGCGATCGATTTACAATCAAAGTTTTCATCGACGTATCGACAGCGAATTCAAGCTTTGCTCTAAAAATAGTAAATGAATCTGCTTTAAAGTCCTTACTATTTTTTCATTTTGAAAATTTCAAATTCTTATGGTATTTTAATACTAATGTGTGATTTTTTAGATTAATTATTTATTACTTCTCTTGAGTTAAAAAAAATCCAAACAATGGTAGGCTTCGATGCAAAAAATTTACATATTCTTGATACGAAATGTATTTGTCCTGTGTGTTTATTGATATTACGCGATCCTGTACAATTGACTGAATGTGGCCATCGTCAGTGTCAAACATGTGTAAATGTTGAGCAAGAGTAAGTTTTATTATGAATATGAAATATTATTTTTCATTGTTCTTTTTTTTTTTAAGAACAACAATTAAATGTCGACAATGTCAAGTAGAAACATTACCAACTCACGTAAGATATCTTTTAATAAATTAAAGAGAAAATCTATTTATTTTGTATAGGTACGAGTTGATCGGGGCTTCAAAAATGATATGAAATCACTATCTATTGATTGTTGCTTCTGCCAGTGGACTGGTGTCTTAGATAACTATCAAGTAATTTATTTGATACTTATTTTATTCTTGAATCTTCTTTCGTATTTCTTCGAAAGGAACATCTCGATCAATGTCATTCAAATCTCAAATGTGATTATTATGGCAATCAGTTAAATTCAGTTAACAAATTCAATGAACATAAAGTCTTCAAATGTCAACAACTGACTGTTGACTGTGAATTGAAAGATTTCGGTTGTAATGAACGAGTATGAATATTTTCTAGATGGAATTGATATAGAAAAATCTATGTGCTATTAGATTATTCGTAGCAAAATGAAAGATCATTATTTGACTCAACAACACCAACACACCGTAGTAAAAGCTGTTATTCAAATGTTATCACAATTAAACGACAGACAAGTGGATATTGATCTTCCTCGAACAACAACTGCAGAAGTTCGTAATCCTGCTACAACTCAATTAGAAAAGGTTTATGAAGTGCTCAATATCTTGGCAAATGGCATGGAAATATCGACCAATTATCAACAACGTGTAAGCAATCTATCACTTTCAACATTGACAGAGGAATTATCAACAGTTAAATTATCCATTGAAGAATCAATTGCTTTTTTGGAAGGAGTAAAACATAATCAAGATTTAGTATCATTGCAAGAACAGATCGATGATTTGCAATATGCGTCTTGTGATGGAACATTTCTTTGGAAAATTAAAAATTTTCAAGACAAAACGAGTAAGTTGAATAATTATTTTTATGCTCTAGAGTGAAAATAGAAAATCTTATCGAAAAGATAATCAAAGAATAACATGTTATTCAGTTTCTATAACATCGAGAAATAATACATAAATGATTCAACGTTACATTTAACATAATATATATATATATATAGATTACCTTCGAATACTATCTCTGAGTAATATATTGATGAAATGAATCATCAATGCTGTTAATCCATTAAATTTCTTTAGAATTGCTTCTGCTCTTCTTTACGCATTTACTTGTTGTCTAATTTTAGTTGATGCACAATCTGAAAGAGAAACATCAATTGATTCTCCTCCATTTTATTCTTCTCCAACTGGTTATAAAATGAGAGCTCGTTTGTATTTAAATGGTGATGGAAATGCTCGTCGTACACACATGTCACTCTTTTTTGCGCTCATGCAAGGAGAATACGATGCCATTATCAAATTTCCATTCACTTATAAAGTCACATTTTGTTTGTATGATCAAACCCCTCAACAACAACATATTATTGATTCATTTCGACCAGATATTAAATCGAGTAGTTTTCAACGACCTCGATCGGATATGAATATAGCTGCTGGTATACCGAAATTTATTCCGTTGGAAATTGTTCAACAGGAAGGAAATCCATATGTACGAGACGATACAATGTTTATCAAAATTATGGTTGATTTTGGAGAAATACCCAAAACATTATTGCCGTACGCTTTGAGTCTCAATTCGGGTCTACCATCGCATGTCCAACAAACAATGATTGATATAGAAGCAAAAAAAAGATCTGAATAAAACCTTAAGAATCAAGTGAAACCAAAGAAATAACATTGAGATACAAAAAAACTGCTCAGTAAGAAAAGAATGGTTTGGCACGTTGAACCGGTTTTTATGAACATTGAGTTTCTGGGCAATGTATTTCTTCATTCTTTGACCAATTAAGAGACGCAGCATGAAAGAAAAATTGACCAAGCTAAATTGAACATATTTATGACGGACGTAGGAAAATATTATGAGAAATAGCAGAAAATGAATTCCAAAAGAGATACGATTATAGATTCCTCCTCTGAATTTGCTATTGTAACAGCTTGCGTCAAAAATTTATTACCAACCCTTCGAAACATTAAATCATAGCTAGTAATTTATGAGCTCCACAAAATATTAAACATAAATTTTGAAAATGAACAAGACTCTGATTTTAACTCGCCCTTCTCATATTCTTGCTGAATCTCTTCATAAACCGAGAATGACAGAAACAATTTATTCAGAGACTCTTGGTTCATTTGTCATTAAAGGAGTTTTTGGTTTTTGTTTTTTTAAATATTTATGTTATTTGTTACTTTAATCAAGCTTAAAATATATCTTCCACTTTTATAAAATATCAACAAAAAAAACCTATATTCAACGATTAGATGTGTATAGAACGACCTCATAATAAGTTAAATCGACCCACTAGTACTTTTCTGATTAACTTCATTGAATCATATGTCAACGGAAAGAGCATTTTGAGACTAACATTTTGGTGTTAGTTTTATGAGTTTTTGNGGGGGGGTGGGGGGGGGTGGGGGGGTGGGGGGGGGGGGGGGGGTCGGGGGGGGGGGGGGGGTGGTGGGGGTGGGGGGTAGGGGGGGGGTGGCGGGGGGGGAGGGGGGGGTGGGTGGGGGCGGGGGTGGGGCTCAAATGGAGTATATCTAACAATACTCTTGATAGCTTTCTTGATGTCCACAACCTTAGTATTTTTATTAGTATCTCTCATTTTCGGCTTTTATGATGTTTTAAAATCTTCAATATTACTGTTGAGGTTAAAGGTGACTAAACGTGCAATTTCCTTATAAATTGTGTCCCACTAAGCTCTAAGTATATCTCTGAATTGAAATATGTCATAGTCAAATCGATCAATAAATGCCTAAAAAAGGTCAATTTTTCGATTTCTACGGAGAGGAAAATAATTGATTTCATCATGCCCTATCATACGACTTATATGGATCTTTCGAAAATGGCAAAAATATTTTGTTTTTGCTTTCGAATCTCGAAAGGGAATACGAAGATATGCAAAGTTTTTCACTCGCATATATTAAATCTAATAGAACGTCATACTGTAATCACAGTCGGCTACTCGGAATTTAAATTCATAAGAAATAAAATAAAATACAGAACTTATGTTTATAATAGTCCATTCGGAGACTCAAAGGCGAAAAAATTTTTGTTTTGAGATTTTCGAAAGACTCATAAATGTCAAATGTTAGAGCATGAAGAATTTATTGCAAAACATCATAAAAGGAAAAAAAACATACGAGCAATTTTAAACAAAACTGAATATATATTGGTTTGGAAACATATATTAGAATTCGTGTTGTTCTACAAAACGGTCTAGGTGGTTTTTTTAAATGATGGATGAAGATTTTATTCGATAAGATTCTTTGGTTTCGTTTTTTATTTACTTACCGAACTATTGTATGAGTAGACATAATTGAATCCGATTTACTAGTTGTCGTATTAGAAAATAATTTACTGTGAGTATTAACAAAAGCATATATATCATCATGTAAACGAAAACGATACACAGCACTTTTTGATTCACCTTTTTCAATAACTAAAAACAAAAAAAAACATTTCTTTCTTAAAATTTCACAAAAATAGAACAAGAAAAATGATCAATATTTTAAATCGATTCTACAATAGGTAACTAAACGAAAGACGAAAATCATTTCTAACTAATAAATAATATGACTCAGGCCTTTTATTTTTCTTGTTGATGATCGTGATTCGTACCTGTAAGTCAAATAAGAACAAGAAAACACTTCCTCTATCTGTGGTGACTTGATTCACAAAATGTCTACATTATTGATGGATGCCAAACGTATTAAATTCTTTTATTAAAATTGACTACAGTCAAAAGAAAAATAAAACAAAGATATATTTAATATATGAACAAAAAAAAATGATTTATTGAAGTAAATTAAAGCTATACGATTATTTTCATTGTAATAGATCTAATGCAATCAGCATAAATTGAGAATATGTGATTGTTAGAATCCTAGTCGAACCATACGTTGGTAATCTCAATGGGATAGTCATTCCGAAGATACGAGATACTTTTTTCTAGGAAAATTTTTATTAGAGAAAAATACTAATCTTGACTTTTCTTATAATGTTATGACTTGATACGATAGTTTCTATGAAAATCAACATTGTTAAAAGAAAAAATTCGCTTTTAAAAAAAGAAAAATTTAAAAATCTGCCATGCAAAAGCAAACAGTACGCTTTGTAGAGTAAACTGTCTTATTAAAAATTATTTCGCATTTTGAATTTAATAGGCTTCAATTGAAATACAAAATTGGCTTAAATAGTATTCTGTAGAATCACTTTATTTTGAAATAATCTTATCTCAGAAGGAATCTATCAAAACATATATCGGAAAGAGCAAAATTATTTTATTCTAATCAGCTGTTTTTAAGTAATTTTGAAGGTGTGGATGAATGTAGGTCTTCTCTTCACCCATGTCAAGCATAACAGATTGATAATCTATGTAATACTGTAGATCATGAAAAGTATGCGCAAATTAATTAGGAGTTTATTCGAAACCGGACGTATATATATTTATGTTTTCCATTCTCGAGACAGACAATGAAGAAATTGGATGCTAATAACATCCAAAAGAACATCAGAAAAAGACATAAGTAATAGAGATAACAGTGTCGAGATATAAAATCATGTTCTCACATTTTTGAGAACGTGAGGGTGAAAAAGTGAACACGAAGGTTGCACTCATATCCTTAAGTTAAATCTTAGTTTTCAATTGAATCAGAGTTCATGAGGTTTTATTAATGTTTATACACGCCCATAGTATTTTTTTTCTCGAAGAAACATCCATTTTGTTAAGTGCTTAACAGCGAAAATATATTTTTAGAAAGCATATCAAATGATTAAGAAAGATAATCATTAAAACTTCTATATCCTTTATTGAAATATTCCAAAAATAACTCAATTCATTATCTTATAAACTTTTTAATTTTTACCTTCTTGAAAGTGTCGATTAATTAAAGGTATATCATTAACATGAACATAATCACGAAAATTTTTTCCCTTGAAATTCATATCAATTGTTTCACATTTCATATGACTAAAGAAAAAAAAATGACGAATACAATTTTTAGTTATTTTTTTTTGTACCTTGAATCTAAACTTTCAATATCATATTGTAAATTAATTCGTGATGAAAATTGATCAAAACCAAGTAAAGCTGGTTTATCTTTAAGTTCGTTTAATGGTGGTCGACGAGCAATACATATTAAAAATGTTTTATCACTACCCGATGAATCACGATGAAGTGCAACTGATACAATCATTGTAACATATGGAGAAGATTCATCATTTGTTCTCATACGACATAGGAATGTACGTCCACGTGATTGACTATTTTGTTGTTCAATATTATTCGTTGGAATTAAAGAATCACCTAAAGATAATTTCATGAATAAAAGACAATTTCATTTTTTGTAAATTAAAACAAACCGGCATCTTTTTTTGCCCAAGCTTTGCTAAACTCGCTAACATCACTCGGATGTACACAATGATACAAATTTCGTCCAGCAAGTTCCTCCTAATTGAAATGTTTTGTTTTTCATTTATAGAAATTTTTTTTTCATAGAAAATTTATTAAATTACTTGAGAAAATTTTAAATACTGTTCAACATTATCGCTTACAAAATCAACTTCACAATTATGATTGATTGTAAAGAAAAACCCATCAAGTGCCTAAAAGAAATAAATTACATAAATATATTATATTACATTAAGTTTTCTTTTTAGTTTTTAATTAAATTCTGTCTAATTTCCTATCTCTTTTAGTACTAATTGAAGACAAAAATTCGTCAATTTATTCAATTCATTCACGCCCACTGTAAGATATATATCATTATATTCTTTTCCTTTTTTTCTACTGATAAAAAAAAGATAATCTATTTCATGATAGCAATACAGAAAGGATAAAAAACGTGTTGGTATTCTGTTTTTACAAACAGACCGCTAATCGTTATTAAGAAAGCGGGCCGGCAGCTACAACACATGCATGTCGATACGCAGGACGCCCTTGCGTCTTGACGAACAACATTAAAGAAAGAAAAGAAAAGAAAAGAGTAACAAGCAGTGTAACGGCTGTAAACGTTTTTTCCTTTGTCTCTTGTTCCAGTCTGCATAATGCTGCTCTATGTGCATGCGCAGAGACCCGATGTCGAGTGTAGCTTTTTTTTCGTCATTGTCATCGCCTTCTTTCAACACATACACACATCGATGTAAAAAGAAAGAAAATAACAGAAAGAAAAGCCAGTTAAATTTGTTCAGTCATATACGCCTTCTCAGTTTTTCTTTTCTTTTTCCTTGGCATACTGTAGAATTAATATCGACTTACTCTTCTTCCTACACTTCACTCATTGTCTCCCAAAAGTAAACGAAGAAAAAAAAAAGAAGACTTTGACATACTTCAAAAAGAAGTGGTCCTAATGCATCATCAGCCAATAAAGCTGGTCTTGATGATGATACATCAGATTGTTGTATAACAGATGCTGAATCAATTCGTTGTCTATTACTTGTTAATGAACCAGTTAAAGATGAGCAAACTGGTTTTAATATTGATGATGATAATGGCGGCGATGCTGATATTAAACGAATATCATCCATTAGTTATCAAAATATTATTCTATCGCATCGACATTCTGTTAATAAACAAAAAAAAACATTTCAATTATAAAAATCACATGGTATACCTAAAGCAAAAAAAAGGAATGTAATGATGCGTGGAAGGATACAATAAGTTCGAGTAAAAACAAAAAAGAAACTGTTTTTTTCCCATTGGTCAAGCATTTCATCATAGAAAAAGGTAAAAAAAAAGAAAACTTAGGTTGGAAGGTAAAAGAGCAAACATCTATCACATATGTTCTGTTTTGTTTAATAAACTTACATTATAGATAAGATCTTTTTTCTTTTTTTTTCTATTGAATGATAATGCAATAAAAGTAGAGAGAAAAAAAATTGTTTTCTGTAGCACAAAATAATTGTGCAAACGTAGACTTAAATAATAATAATAACAATGGTAACTCGATTTTAATATAATGAAAAATAACTCGAATATATGAATCACATATAATGCTATATACAATCAAATAATGTATAACTCATATGATAATACGAAATCTAAAAATGAAAGATAAATATGATTTTTCATTAAAAGAATCCAATAGAAAATTTTATTGATCCTAGTTTTGGTCTGTTTTTCAAAGGATGAATGATCGTCATCAGCCGACAGTCGCCATTGTGTATTATGATTATGGATGTAGTCCTCTATAAAAATATGATGCATTAATAGTTTGATCATTCTAACCAATCAAGAAAAAGAATGGGTAAAGAATGGAAAGAAAATTTTCTTTTTTTTACTTTTCAATTTTTATAAAAGGAATAAACTTTTTTTTTCTTCTCATTTCAATGAATATTAAAGTTTTTATTATATAATTTTATTTATGAATACCAAGACGAATGTAATAACAGCTCATTAATTTTCATGATATAGGAAAGACTAAAAATGGATAGAATTGACATTATTTATTAATGAAACTATGAAAAATACAGTGTGATGCAAAAGTCATCTGGCAATTTTTTTGTTTGCGAATAAATTTTGATAGAAGCAAGATAGACACCTGCGGCTTTCACCACTCAAAAGAAGCTATATCATTGCATGGTTTCACATGTAATCAGCTGATCATCGAATTTTCAATCAGTGAGTTTGATAAAAAATGCTGATAGTTCGATGAAGATGGGATAAAAATTTAAGGCTCCTCCCTTTCTGAACGTACCTCCAAAAATCAACTATGCAATGTTTTTCAAAATAAAAAAGAATAGATATCCGAAAGTCTTCAATACATGTAAAAAACCCTTTCAATTCGATCAAATGTGCTACGTCGGAGAAACTAGGGATGATTTTGCACTGTTTTTCATGTAAAAATTGATTTCGAGAAATATAAATTTCTTTGTATGTATTAGGATCTCTTTAACTAAAGTGATCAAAAGCTGGCCGTGTTAGTGATGCATAAGCCATGCTCTCGGCATCTTGAAAAATTACCATTAGGAGAATTTTAAATACAAAGAACGCTTGCAACGCGAGTCTTTTGTTAAGGATTTCAAGAGTTAGGTTTAATAGAAGTTAAAGAGCCCTCATTTATATGACATTTGACAGAGTATACTTCGAAGCTATGTCGACAATTCAAAAAAATTCTGATTCTAGCATCCAGAAAAGGGGAAGAGGTATCCTCTCTTTCTTTAGACTGTTTCTAGTTTTCAAAATCATTTGGCCTTTTGCACGGAAACCTTAATTTTTCATATGGACGCATCCTGATTGCTTCCGACTCTCATTTAACTTTGTTCACTGGGAATGAAACTTTTATCATTGATATTTGGAAACGTTTTCTGCAGGCAAACTTGACTTTCTACCTGGTTTTACAGGATCCTGAAAGCCGAGACCTCGATTTTGGTACCGAAATTTTCTGTATTTCACTCCAAAAGAAAAAGAAAGTGAGATTTTTGGAAACCCTTATCATTACCTCTGAGATATAGTCGTAGGTATCTCCAAAAGAATTTTCAGCTCAATAGGATAAAGTTTCATGGGGGTCGTAACGCATCAGGTTGCAATCCTATGGAAAAACAGGGTTGAATTTCAGTTTGATCGATTGTAACATCTTCGAAAACCAGAGACGGTTAGAAAAGAGTTGGACTGCCGTTAATTCTAAAAAATCGCTGGATCTACGTGCTCATGATCTGCATTAGTGTTTCTGTCTAGGACTTTTAAATGGATGACGATAGAAATTTCGAATTTGAGTGTAAATCATGAGTACGCGCATTTCTTAGAATTAAATTTTTGTATCATGTTCGTAGAGTTATCAGTATTTTTATGAAACTCACTAACTGATATTTCAGTCATTAACCAATCATGCGTAGAACTACGCAATGACACAATTGCTTTCAAATGGTGCAAATCGTAACTCTCCATTTTATCCTAACAAAAATTATTCACAATCAAAGACTGATGGGGTGATTTTTGGACCGTTATGTATTTTAACATGTCTCACAAGCATGTTACTTTGAGTTTAGTTTATATAAATCTATTTGTCAATAAAGTCCAAATACTTTATTGTCATTTATTAATACTCAAGTCTTAGAGTATGATGTAGTATTTGAGCTTGATTGCCAAACAGACTTATATAAAATGAAACTCAACTAATCTACTAATGAGAAACGTTAATAGTAGACTTACATGAGTGTTAATCGTATTTTAATAATACTTCGAAGATTGTGATGGAAATGGTTAAGCTAAATATTGCTGTTGTCTTTTTTTGATTCGCTGATTTAAATCCAACAAATATTAAAATATTAATTCCGGATAAATATTTCCGAGAAATAATCCTTCTTAGTACAATTTTCATATAAAAATTAGACGATGAGTATTATATTACCATGGTCGTGACTAATCATACTATCGTTAAAAACATTATTATTTGCGATTTATTTTTTGAGAATATACTATACACAAGTACTTCTCTTGAGAGAACTACGAATATGTACTTAGTCGTACTTATGATATGTTTAACAGGGATTAATGATTTGATGAATAATGAAGATTTTTTATCAATGAGCATAGTAAAGAAAAGAAGAAAAAATGGATACTCTTTTTAATGACTAATTTACTTCAGAACTTATCTGTGAAACTTTCAATGATCATTAAGTTGAAAATTCATTGGTTCGTATTTTATGTATCCTGCTGACATAACATTACCAATGCTTATCTACATAGTCGCTTATAAATATGCCATTCATTAATTATGATTTGATAGATATTTTGAAGCATTTGATATTGAAGTGTCTATAACACAATGTGAACAGAGTAACGTGAGATCCATAGATTTCTCAAGGTTAATATTGTTTGTTTTTTTTCTTACTAAATAGACATTTGAAGAAAAAACTGCTTAAATAAAATAGCTATCAGATCATGTAATTAGATGATTTACATTCCTTCATTTCACAACAATGATCCAATTCTTAATTCATTATATTTGTTATTTCGAATCTAAATAAGTAGTTGTATTAGTATGTTTATGGAATTTATTCTTATAGAAAAAGGAAAAGGAAAAATAAATACAAAAACAAAAAATAAAATAAAATAAAACGACAATATTAATTTGAAGAATTATGTTAATGAATCTTCTGATAGTGGTGCTTGTGGTACTGCTGTTCGATTACGTAGAATATGAAATATATTCGTAAAACTATGTGGAACAACTCGTCCAAGACGATAATTAAGTAAAACACAAGTAATCAGTGCTGCACAAAGAAATAAAGCTATACCTAAAATAATCGATGTAATATAAGCTGTTGCTTTCCATGGACTATTATTATAATTATTTGTTATTGTTGTATTCATTGTTTCATTTGCTGATTTTGATGTAGTAGTTATTGATGTTGAATAATATGTTGTAGTTGATGGCTTAATCGTTGTTGTTATTTTTGTTGCTGTTGCTGTTGTTGTTGTTCTTGTTGTTGTTATTGTTGTTGTATGATTTGGCCATTGAGCAAAAGATACAAGTCGAATTGATCGTAATTGTTCGTCAAACCAAAAAATATTTCGAACTTCATAAGTAAATAATGAAACAATACGTACATGACCACTTATTGTTAACCATATAAGATAATTATTATAAATAAACATTGATTGAATATCAGCTATTATATTTGTATCTAATGGTAAAATATCTTTTGATTCAATAAAACCATTTGGTAATAATGTTAATATATAAATTTTATGTTCAATTCGATCAGCAAAATATAAATGATTACCATCAATAGCTAATGCTGATATATCTTGATAACCATTATCTATAAAAAGACAAGTTTGAAATGATAATATACGATAGTTATTATTAATTCGACATTTTAGAATAGCTACTTCATGATCAGTTCTTGTAACACTTAAATAAAATTCATTATTATCATCAATAATTGAACTATTATATATAATATCATTAATTGTAGATGTTGAATTCCAGAGATATTCTTTAGACATATCTTGAAAATCTAATTGAATTATTGCATGACGTAATGCCCAAACAAGTGTTGCTTTACCCGATAGATATGTTAAACTTGATTGACATGGTGTATCATCAACAGGTGAAAATGGTACAATAGTTGATCCTATTCGTAAATCAAGTCTATATATTGTACTTGGTGAACAAACATAAATTCTGTTAATAAAATTATTTGATGTTAAACTTTGTAAATTATAAACAGAATCATTATGATGATAAATTAAATAAAAATTATCATTTGTATAATTAAATTCACTTATTTGCGCTATATATATATTTGATTCAGTTAAAATTGCAATAGCTGGATTTCTAATAAGACAAATTGCGTTTTGAAAAAGATGTATTATAAAAATAAAAACAATTTCATGATAAATTTTACTCATCGTTGTCTTTTCATCATGTGTTCTCTAAGGATGTTTTATATTTTATCTTATTTCATAAAGTACAATTTACGTCATCATGAGAAACAAAGAGAACAACAAAATTTTGGTTTTCTTTTTTTTTTTCGTGTTATCAGTCTAATGGGATCACGTTGCAGTTTTAATTGTTTATATACTAAATGATCTGTCTTTGGCATGGACATATATAGAGTATTGGATTAAAAAACGATTGGAATCGATTAAATCAAAGTAAAACAAAAAATGAAGTTTAAATTTAATCCAAGAGGATGTTTGATAGCATAATAATGGATAAAATAACTTAATCATCAATGGTCACATCTTCGGAATGATGTTATTTGACTCTCTTAAAATTCGAGTCTCGCCTAGCAAATTATTAGAAGGAAAATCAATGATTTTTGATTTTCATGAGTTAATAATTGAATTAAACAAATAATTTTTCCAATGCTAACTTCAGCGAAAATTATCGAAAACTTAGTAACAGATTGTATCAAAAGTTTAAGCTAATATTTCAAATAAAATTCTTTGTATTGAATAAACGATGATAAGGATGGCGGCGCCACAATGCGATATTAACAAATCGGGACTAGATAAAGAAGAAAAGTCCGTAACTAAGTGATATCAACCAACAAGAATGGTAGATAATGAAGAAGAACAAATAACACGTATACTTTTCTTTTAAGTTACAAAAAAAAGTAAGAAGAATGAGTCGAACTAGTTCCGGACGTCGTCCTCCAGTAGGTCCTAATTCAATTGAAACAAAATATCTCATATCAACTGTTGGTAAGTTCTAGGGACGTGCAGTTTCAGTTTACTAACCAACTGATTTACTGTGAATTAGTGTCACGAGGGGGAAAAATGCTACTCCAGTATTTCGAAGTAAGAATGAAGTACAAGCGAGGTGCAATATTCACTTGTATTTTGAAGTATTGGTGTGAGGTTTTTTTCACTTTGAGTTAGGACACACTGACACCAGTCTTCACTGAAGCATGGAAAAACATTGCTACAAAAACGACGTATTACGATTGAATTGTTGTCTAAATGGTACAGCGAACGCGTGTATCAGTGTCCAAGTGGATCCTATGTTAGTGATTCATTTCTCAATATTTAAAGTAATAAAAATGATGACCCGTCGGCAAAATGTGCATGTAGGCAGATGTTTGACCAAAACTGAAAATCGCACTTTTTGAAGGTTTAAATATAGGAAAATATACTTCGACATACAGTCTATGTAATGATATAGATAACTTTGCTATATCTGACAAAATTAGACTGTTTGACCGATAAATTAAGCCCATTTTCTAAATCTCCAAGCCAAGCTCTATAAAATGATAAAATAATTTTTTTTATTAGCATGTTTAATTTTAGAAGAAAAAAATATTTCTTTCTACCGTGTCGTTCGAACAGCTAATCCCATAAATGAGTACTTTATCTCAAAATTTTTCCAAGTTGTGCTCGAATCTTCTTTTATCTATTGTCTTTAATTCCTGTTAGCACAAACATATCTGAACTGCACAACAGGTTTTCAAATAACCTAGGTTTTTGAGTTTTTCTGACTTTCGAAAAATATTTAATCAAGTATATCCGAAAGCAACGCATTAAGCTGCTTTGAATGATATAACACAGAACAATTTTGAAAAAAAGGATCTTCTCGAAAAATACGAACAATTGTTCCCCTCCAACATTTTTCGTCGAAAACTTTTCTGCTTTTAAAAATTGATTTTCTGCGTCATATCCATTAATTTCCGAGCAAGAAAGCCTTATGTTCATGCTCCATAAGAAAAATACACTCTGTGTCCCTCATCCCCCAAATCGAGACCACTGCACTGCATATCCGTAGTAAGTTCTTTATTTTCTATTTTCTAACACATTGTTTTTCGTTGTATTATACATGCAGGACCAATATTAGTTCGCGGTTTAGCAGAAATAGTCGAACATCGTCCAAATGAACCTATTGAATATTTAGCAACATTTCTCTATAAACAAGCTGATAATATACGTGCTCAAAAACAAGTAAAGCATTTTGATTTTTCGTTAATTTTAATTTGATATTTTTGTTTGCAAAAAAAAACAATAATAGAAAGAAAATGATGCAAAACAATTAGAAATTGAAAAACAAAAAGCTGAAGAAGATAAACAACATCGTTTACAGCTTAAAAATGAAATTCGAGCTTTACGTGAACGTGAAGAAAATCAACGTAAACAACGTCAAGCTGAAGAAAAACGTCGAAGAGATGCAGAAGAATTAGTTAAACGGTAGTAAACTTCATTTTTGAAAACAAATAAGAAAAGAGATAATAAGAATTTAGACAAAAACAAAAATCAGCAACTTCTCCACCAATACCAGCAGCACATAAAGAAGATAATGACGTATTTATAGTTGAATTCGGTGAAACAAAACTTCATCGACAAGCTGCAATTCGAGGTTTCATAGGAAAAACATGTCTTTTATGATAATCAATATTTAAGAAATTCTTTTACAGGTGCTAATCTTTCTAAATTACTTCGTGAAAATTTTCATTTAATTGCATCACGTAATGCACAAGGAAAAACACCACGTGATGTAGCTAGTGTTGCTGGTCTTCAAGGAAATGTTAATCAAATTGGTATATTTTAAAAAAAGCAAAGAACTATCGTGTGACCTATAATAAATAATTGACTTTCATTTCTTTCTTTGGGACATTTTATAATCTGCTTCTATCTTCATTTCCACAGAGGGTTTCTTTAAGAAAAAGGAGGATTTTGTGTTTCGAAAATAGTCTAATAAATTATTGAGGAGGGAACTACCCGTACCGCAAAATCGTCGGTTGAATTCATATTAAATCCACAAAGAAGCGTCGATAAGACTAGAAGAAGTTTAAAAAGATTCATGTCCATGGTAGAATTTTCAGGTAAAATCGATGTGTTGTGGGTGCAGCCGTAGCAAGTGACTATTTGTTGAAAACTCGATATCTCAACAAACGAACATTCTTTTCAGCTGAAACTTCCATAACATTTTAAGAGCCATTATTCCTATCTATGGGCTTGAATTTCAGGTCAAAAATTCAGTAGAAAGATTATAATTTGGTTTCCGAGATCCACGGACACGAATCATTTTAGAATTTTCTTTGTCTTGCCAAGATTTCCTTGTGGATCCAGTATGAATTCAAATAACGGATTACAGTTGAAGTAGTTCTCTTGTGAGTGTGACTTTGTAGTTTATTTGAATATCGGACGACTTCTGCAAAAACGTATGCTGAAGAGAGAACCTTTTCCGCCGTCGACTTCTGATTCCAATGAGTTTTTGCCTATAGATCTATAAAAACCCGAAAAGGATTTTTGTTCCTATTGATATTTGACTAAGCTATCGAGGTTTTCGGAAAAGTCGTATTTTTGAATTTTGATCTGAAACTTTGCGCATATAGAGAAGTCAACTAGACTAGCTTCCATAAGAAAATTCACAAGTTGGGACCAAATTCTCTTCCACATATGAGACTTTTAAGATATGGACCCTTGTCCATGGATAATGTATACAACATGAAATTTTTGAAAGCTTCATATCTCGAAGAGGCTTTCTTGAAAACTTGCGAGTTTTTTCGATATATGAATTTATAGTATCTATAGATAACAAGTCATTGAAATCGGAACGGAATAGCTGAAAAGGTTTCCGTGTCAGCTAGACAAGTCTTAAAACTGAAACATTGTTTCTTAAGCCATAAGATGTAAAATTTAATTCTGCAATGATGGTCTGAATTGTCACTAGAATAGTTAAAATATTTCAACTATTTTGAATTAATAAAAAAAAATCGTGTCGGTATGTTTGAAAAAAACTTTTCGGCCATTTTCTTTTTCAAAACAATTCTACATTTAATATTCATTTTTGTAGTCTAAATTCAAATCTTTACTAAAAATTTTTACTATAGATTGTTATGTACGAACATAAACCTTGTGTTGAATAAGAATAATTTCAAACTGCCCTAAGGGAAATAAAAGTCGACTATTTATTATATATCATCCGACACTTTTTTTAAATGTTATTATACTTCCTTTATTCTACCGTTTAGACACTTTTTGTATTGAATTACTTGAAAACGGCAATACAAAAGCAATTAATGATTTACTTCTATGTGGTTATACAGAATTAGTGGATCAATTAAAAACAATTGAAGATAATAATGAAGATACATTTTATTTTGTTAATAATCAAATACCTCAATTATTAGTAAGAATTTCGTTTGTTTTTCTTTCTCAAGAAAAATTTATAACGAAAAGAAAAAATGATTTCAATGTTTAGGAAAAAATTCAAGAATTTCAACATGCAATAAAACGAGGCAACATGAAAACAATTAAGAATATTGTTGCTAATCATAAAAATATAGCATTTTATCGAGATTCAGATGGTTCATCATCATTACACGATGCTATTGATAATCGAAAATTTCATATAGCTTTATATCTCGTACAAAAATATCCATCATTAGCACTTGTAAAAGATATAGTAAGTGAAATAAATTTTTCGGTGATATTTAATTATAAATGTATAATTTTTTTTAATTTTAGCGTAATCGTACTAGTTTTGATTTACTGAATTTAATTGATGACAATACTTTAACTGATGAACAATTTGGTATATATGATCAACTTAAACAATTACTAAGTTCAGCTACAGCTAATCAACAAGAAGATTATTAAATTACTTTTATGTTTTTTTTTACAAAAAAAAAAGGCATTGAATGTGAATTAAAGCTAGACAATAAAGAATTTTTGACAAAATATTGGTTTACTTTAAAGCAACGTCCAACAGAAGTTCTGACATTTTATTGAAGGATTCTTCTAAACAGAGGCCACACGTGGATCTTAAGATTGAGGAGGTACATAGGAGAATGTCTTATAGAGATAGGAAAAAATTCACAGAAGAATAAACTCTCTCTACTGCTGTGACCTTTTTTCTTTCTAAGTTTAGAACAAGAGACTAGAAAAGAGTAAAGGATTAGGCAGAAAAAAAAGTTTACATTCATCACACGTGTATACTCTAGGATGTCAGTTATGAATACGAACGGACATAGGAGTTTTAACATTTTGTATTCGGATCTGTTTATACTGATATGAGAGAGCTGATTTCGTCGATTGTTTAGAAGTATCATTATTGCACGTATGTAATATGCTGTCTTTCTGCATGTTCGTTGACAAAGAAATAATTTTTATTTGTTCAAGAAAATGAGAGTGGAGTAGATTTATCAGGAAGTTCTTTTTTTCATTTACTAATATGTTATAAGAAAGAGATGTTTTATAGATATATAGTCTTCTTAGTTGAAGTTTGACTTTTTCCAAAGTATTTTTATCATGACGAAAAGATTTATTCGTTATCTTTCTCAATGTAGGCATCTAACTTTAATATATATTGTCTTACTCTTCATACTTTACAATTTTCCTTAACTCATATTACAAAGTGTTTAAGGTGCCTAATTTTCTTTTTGTTGCAAATATAATGTACCTCTGGTTTTTGGCCAAGTTTTACAGAGGTACTACCTCGAACGGTATGTAGTATTTGTAAAACAAAACAATTTCAAATCTATCAGATGTATTGTAGCTGACGAGCTGAGTCTTCCAACCGTTCGATTTCTTTGAAGTCGAAACTATATACATTGTGTAGATCCAAATGAGCTATGAATACTCTAAAAAGAGTTCTTACCCTGAGCTTATTCCTACGAAGATACTGCATCTTTACGATATGTTTTGAATGAATATCATAATAACAGAAAACTGATTTTCAAATTCAAACTTTGCACGGAGACAGATCTCAACGTGAATTTTTCAGATTTTGTTGAAGTTCTAATCCTAAGATACAACTGTGATAGCAGCGTATCTTTTCTATTGCTCATATAAATCGACAGATTTGATGTTCTTATTTCAGTATAGAAGAAAATCAAAAGACTTGAACCTTTTATAATGAACTACTCTCGTTAAGACCTGTGTCTAGTTAAAGTTTTTGATCAATGTTCGAAAATCAGTTTTTTTTTTGTTCCTACGGCATTCATTTTAAAAAATACTGTAACAGTTCAATACCTCCGTAGTAAGAAACTGGGAGAAAAAACTTTTTCAGAATATTTATAGCTCATTTAGATTTACACAATGCATGCATATAGTCTCGATTCAAAAGCGATTAAACAATAGGATGACTTCTCTCGTAAGAAATCGGGACGTTTAACTAGGGTAACCTATAACCTTTAGGAACCCGATACTTGTCAAAAGGAAGCTTTTATAAATTTTGTGGGGACAATTAAGAGAAAGTTATTTTCATAGCTTTTATAGTCAGTAGAATATTTCACATATCCCATTATGTCATAATCAATGATATTCAACTCTAACTAAATCTATTATGATTATGACCAAGAGCTTTTATTTAGTAATCGAAACAAACACGAGAATTTTATCCATCCCGCCCATTCACTAACATGTATATATGTATATATATGTAAACAAATTTGCTTGCGTTTGTAAATCTTTATTCCCGCCTTCTTCATTTGTTCATTTACTTAGTACATAGTTGCATCCGTTTTTATTCTCTCTCTTTTGTTCTTCTCATCATCAGTTGTTTAATTTCCTCGAAAGCTTTACTTTAGGATCAATGAAAAGAGAAAAAAGGCCATCAATGAGACATATACTAATAAAAGGTGGATTAGAACAGAAAGAATTTATCATACAATTATATATTCTTTTTTAAAAAAAATTATACAATGAATAACGATGATGATAGTCTTCAACCAGTTAAATATTTAGGTAAAGTACGTTCATTATATGCTTATGGAATGGGTGTAGCTATTGTAAGTATTTTAAATTATATAATTTTTCTTTTGACATATATCCATTTGATTTTAAAGGAACCTGTACGTATTGTTTGGAATCGATCAAAAAAAGGTTCACGCTATAATCGTTGTGCTGTATCAATACATCCATTTGGTTTATCTATTTATGAAGAAATATCTAGTGGAACATATAAAAATGTTTGGTCAGATGCTATTGAAGATATATCATATTGTGTTGCAGAACCATTACATCGTCGTATATTTGCGTGGATAGCACGATCACCACATACAAATGAACTTGAATGTCATGTTATATTATGTAAAACAAGTAAATGTGCACGTATACTTGCTGAATTATTAGCTAAATCATTTCATGATTCATATCGTTATCGACAAGAACAACAACAACAACAACAACAACGAATAAATGAAACAACATCATTATCTGCTCGTTGTTCTGTATGTGATACTATTGCTCGACAACAACAAAATAATCGTATACGTCCATGTTTATTTCGAAGTCATTCACATGATCATAATCATAATTATAATGATGATATAGAATTAAATCGACAACAAATTAATAATGATTATGAACGAATGTCATTTAATGCATCAACAATGGCACGAGCTTTTGTACGAAATTATGATGGAAGTTCAATGAATAGCAGTAGTCGTCGAAGTATCGATAATGATACAACATTAGCTGATGAAGAATCAATTAAACCAGTTGAATATTATAGAAGATAAAGATTTAAAATATAAAAGAAAAACCAAATATGTGTTTGCATGTGTATTAGAGCCAAGGACAAAATTAAGCATAGATAGTCAAGTACTGTTAAGCTCAAATGACATTTCTATGGTCGGTTCTTTTTTTTTTCTGTTTTTTTCTATTGTTGTTCTTAGTCTTAAAATAAGCAAAAAGCATAATGCAACTGTCTGCTTGATTCATTTCGAAATTACGATTGAATATTATCAAGCATTTGTGATCAATGACGACTTACCTTTACAACCAGATCAAGCATGATTTTACTTTCATATAACGTATTAGTTGCAAGGATTTTGTACTGTAAGGTTAATGATGTAGAACACGTAGGCATTTATTTTGATTGATTGCTTTCTTTGAATATTATTGCTATTTTCTCTTATAAAACAAGCATTAAATAATAATGATAAAAAAGAGAAGTCGTAAAACTGTTTGTTAATGCACTCGATATGCAGATGCTTTTTTGTAAAAGGATGCATTCTATAAAGACTATTGAATAGATTGATGTAGATATTAATAGGTTATTTTTTGTGATTAAGAAAACAATGTGGTAAGTATTTGTTTTAGACTCGTTTTCAATTTTACGAATTATATAGAGGACAATAGGGCAGAATTATTCTAATAGCACCTGAAATGAATAATATTTATGTGTTGATATTTAGAAATGCTAGAACACTTGTATGATTTTTGTTATCATAATATATTTCAATACAAGATTGTTATTACGAAAGATCGAAAAGGTTTACTAACCTAATGAAATATATCTCGAAGTCACAGAAGACTCATACTTTAATCTTCATGATCATTAAAAAAGATACCGAGTTGTACAAATAGAGAATTCATCGAATGGCATGTAAAAATAAAGAAAAAATAATCAAGGTCATTGACCTACTGATTATTAACAATACATATTATTAACCGATGAATAGTTTGATTTTGAAGACATCAGACTTATTGTTCGATTAATTTCCGATAAAAAAAAAGGATAGAAATTCATGATTATCATAATTGAAATGGCAAAGTATGAAGCTTCATTTTTGTTACAGTAAAGATTTTATACCATTTAAATCGATTAATAAATAACTATTACTAACAATAAATTTGTCATTTTTATTCGTTGCTATTTAAGGTCAACTATCGACTTTATGTTCCTTTTCTATATTCTCCACATTGCTTGTAAATGTATATCAAAGACTAGCATTCACTTTCAGTTATACAATCAAATCCACTTCTATCATATCATTACAAATGTTGCATGATACTAAGTTGATAAAACTCAATGCAATGATTGTTTCATCTATATGGCTGCCGATCGTTTTTTTTTGTTTATATACAGCAAAGATCGTATAAGTAGTCCTTGTAATCTCGCTCGCCTCGATCGTGCATAGATAAACAATTTTGTTTGATGCTTTGACTTGATGACGGATTCATTTTTTATTATATCAAACAAAAGAAATTTCGTCGTTCACAAGGGAGGGTCATCAAGTGTAATAATCTTTATTTTCAATAGACTTTATGCCAGTTTGTAGAGCACAATGGCAAAAAAACGTTCTTCCCTATAGACTATCTTTGAGAAGTTAGGTCGACTGTAACTTCAGAAAAATGGCTGCTAGCTATTGTAACAGAAATTTTAATTTTTATGTGAATTTAGTTCTCGGCATTCAAAACTTTAATATTGGATGTCCCTTAATCAACTGTAAACCCCCACACAATCAACATGGAATACTATTTTAAGAATATATTAATTACGTTTTTTGTCAAGAATCTCGTGTTTCATAATTTTCATTTTAATTAGTTATTTTCTCGCATATTTATGTACAAAAATACAATAGATAAGGGAGATTATTGACACATGATCAATAGGTATTTTTTACATATACTCTAAATAGATGAGCATACAGTTGGAATTAGAGGAATTTTGAAAAAATAGTTGAATACCATACATCCATAATATTAATGGCATTGAAATATTCAAAATATAGACTTAGTTAGGATTTCTATTTATGCTGATTGTGCAAATGTATACAGTCATTTAAGGTGCATCAAGTGCAAAAAACTTGAATGCTAAGCACTAATCTAACACAAAAAGTAAAATTTTTGAAATGACAACTTGCAGTAAT